GTCAAGAAACAACTTCCACCACGAATACCAAGAAGAAGAGTGAGAATAATGAAGTAAATAGATATTTTTATCTGAAGTAAATACATGCAGAACGAACAGTTAAACGAATTTACTCCAGCAGAGCATATTCATCAGATTCGCTCATATTTCGATATCATAGACAATGCAGTTCAAATTGGTGACACTAATAGAAAATATTCTGACGCAAAGATTCCATCACAACCTGGAACTGCTAAAGATAACACATGGGTAACATTCAATCTCTCACCTCCTGGTGAAAATATGTTGGACCTTTACAATACATTCATTACGTATAAAATGGAAGGTCAATTTATTGTAGATAAAGAAATTGGTTCAGGTTCCAATAAAACAAACCCACCAGGATTTTGGATTGGTTTCGATGACGCTTTCTATGCAGTTGCTGGATATCAAATCCTTGCAAATGGTCGTATCGTATATTCTCAAGACAACGCAAGAGAAGAAGCATATATAACTTCAAACTCACAAACTACCGAACAAATAAAGAAAGTCGATGTTTTTTCAAAGACTCGACATAAAGATGTATGGAGTCATTCGGGAACATGCAGAACAGGACAAATTGTTGGTGGCCAATTACAGCAGGAAAATCATTTGATTTTAAGCTTCGTTTAAGAATTCCTGTTAGAAGATTCCTTCCATTAGAACCTATTCGATTTATTCCAGCTTTTGCAGGAAACATTCAGCTTAAAGTAAAGTTCAGTAGCGACGCCTTACAATGCACATCTATATCTGTAAATGATATCATTGCTTTCAATCCAACTCTTAAAGTTGCATTTGCTTCAGGTTCAAATCCACCGACAAATAAATTTGTTCCATGGAATGAACCATTCACTATGATAACGAGTGCAACTGAAGCTAGTGGAACAGTTACTATTACAACTGTAACCCAGCAACTATTTCGAACAAAGATGGATTTTAATGAATGTTTTATTCATCCAAAGTCATTCTCTTTAGACCCTAACATTTATACAGAACTTGTAGAACATTATACAAACGAGGCTTTATGTTTTCCTGTTAAAGTTATGGATTGGATTCCTATGGATGGTTCATTCTCAAAGAATACAGATAGTTCAAGTGCAACATTTACAGCAGCTTATACGCCTATTAATGTTAAAAGTATTTGGGCACTATTTAGAAAGAAAGACAACTATTATGTTAATTTTGAGAACCCTAAGTTTAAATATCTTCAGCTTTCCATGGGAGCTTATGGAAATATGCCTGCAGAACCTGAAAAATCATATGGACCTGTATTTTATGAAATGGTTGCGAACGCTTGCAATACAAACAATGATATGATTGGATTTAATGAAGATGTTATGAGGTCATTGGTGGATGATGGTAGTGTGGAACATAAATGGGATAGCTATGACAACACACATTTCTTATGTGGTTTTCCAACAGAAGTGGACTTTTGCTTCCAGCAAGGTCAAACATCTACTGCTCCAATAACATACAAATTGTCTGTTAAAGGACCTATTGAACTAGCAACAGAAAATGTACCAAAGCCACTTATTGGATTTATGAGGGATTGTTGCTTTGCAATACAAGTAAGACAGTCAGGCATACCAATAATAAGACTTGACGACTATAACTTAGCAGCGACGACAGTGAGGAATAAAGGATGAACGTTTATTTTTAAAGCTTATAAATGAGTTCTTCATCAAGCTCTCGTGAACCTTCACCATCTGTGAAACAAACTTTACCAAACGATTATGGAGCACCTATTGAATATTTCTTACGAGCTGCACAATGGCAAAGAGCAGTCTCACCAAGGTTAGGTGTTCCACCAGCTCCTGTCAAAAATAGCATTTGGTCAAGTCCTTATATAAGATATGGTCTCCCACTAGGTTTGCTAGCTACAGCAGGAGCAGTAATGATGTTGAAAAGAAACAAAGCAAATGTTATAAATAATACTGAAGTAGCTGAATTTGAACAAACTCCGACACCATCGCCAAAACCAACGTCAAAACCAACGCCTTCACAAACAACACCTTCAATGACTCCTGAACCTATGAAAGTACAAACTCCTGTTCAAAAGTCAACTCCAAAACCGACTCCAACATTTAAACCAGAACCTACTCCTCAAATAAATCGTAAAACTCCTGCGTTTCCTTACTGAAAAAATAATGTTAGTTTTATTTTATTTGAACATTTTATTTAGAGTAAAATGACGACTAAAGTCACTGAAGCAATGAAACAAAAATTTTTGGTAGAATACATTAAATCAGGAGCGGTTCCAGAAGGTTTTTACGTTCATACTATGAAGGATGGTAGAGTTCAGTTTAGAAAGATAAAGCAACCATTAGATAGAGAAGGAATTTTAGAAGATTAAACTTCATGAGGACAACATTGCTGAACTTAAGAAGAAGTTAGAAGAGTTGGAGAAAGGAAGAGAGTTATAAAGTAATGAATTCAACGGGTGAAAAAAGAGGTGAAAAAAGAGGTGAGATTTCACCACTTCACCTAAATTTATTTTTTCACCTCTGACAACGTTTATTTTTAAGTTTATTTTATTATTTAGCGAGAACGTTTATTTTTATATAAATGACAGAACAAAAATATAACATTTCTACTCAGCAGGAATGAGACCCTTACTGACTATGTATTCGTTTAATGCTTGATGAAAACAATGGTACATATTATCGTATGGGTATACACAACGTCTGTTTCCATCGTCGTCGTATATGTAGAGCTCAAATCCAGTCCAACCTTCTTTTGTACAATATGTAGCTTTATTTAAGTATGCATTTATGTAGATAAGGCAATTTTCTTCATCGCTCCAGAAATAATTTTTCGTCATTGTTGAAATAGTTTTCGTTCCTCTGCGACCATAAGGAATGTATGCAATGAACTTTGCGTCATATGGGATTGTAATATATTCAGGGTTTCTTTCATCGTCAATGGGTCTGTCTTTGTTAAAATGCATGTTTCTCAGTTTTACTTGAGTTTTGAATAGTTCACGGAAACGTTCTGGGAAAGAGTCATAGTAAATGTAGTCGGACATGTCTTTGTAATGAAATAAAAAATTTAAAAAAATAAAAATAAGGTTATTTTTATTTAGTGAGGACGGTAGTGAAGTCGTTAGTGAAGTCGTTAGTGAAGTCGTTTATGTATCAGATGGTTTTGTAAATATTTAAGGTTAAGTTGGTGTTTGTGTTTGTGTTGTAAAATATACGTTACCGGTTTTGTAAAGTGTCAAACCGTTAACTTGGGTAAGGTGGAACGCAGTGCCACAGTACCCAAGTTAGGGATACTAACTTTCGTTGGGTGCATATAAGTTTGATAAATATATTTATGAATATTAATGTCAAATTGGGTGGTTGCATATAGTAATGAAAAATATATTAATAAAAAGTAATGTCAAATTGGTTGATTGCATATAGTAATGAAAATAAGATTAATAAAAATTAATGTCAAATTGGGTGGATTCGTGATAGAATGCTTCTGTCTATGTGTGGCGTGAGTTAGCATCGGGTGGTTGCGTGATAGAATGCTTCTGTCTATGTGTGGCGTGAGTTAGCATCGGGTGGTTGCGTGATAGAATGCTTCTGTCTATGTGTGGCGTGAGTTAGCATCGGGTGGTTGCGTGATAGAATGCTTCTGTCTATGTGTGGCGTGAGTTAGCATCGGGTGGTTGCGTGATAGAATGCTTCTGTCTATGTGTGGCGTGAGTTAGCATCGGGTGGTTGCGTGATAGAATGCTTCTGTCTATGTGTGGCGTGAGTTAGCATCGGGTGGTTGCGTGATAGAATGCTTCTGTCTATGTGTGGCGTGAGTTAGCATCGGGTGGTTGCGTGATAGAATGCTTCTGTCTATGTGTGGCGTGAGTTAGCATCGGGTGGTTGCGTGATAGAATGCTTCTGTCTATGTGTGGCGTGAGTTAGCATCGGGTGGTTTCATCACAAATTTTAACCCATCCAAATCTTATTAATTATTAAAATTCTTTTACAATTTCTGATGTATTTTTTGAAAACATTTCATATGCAATATTTCTCCTTTTCTTTCCTCAAATCTTCAAATATTAATAACTTTGGATATGAAATTATTTGGATCTTTTATGAATTTTAAATGTCTTTCTTAATATCAAATCGATTAAATATTAATATTTTTTAAATTATGCCTTAAAAATCCAAATATAAAAAATCGTAAATAAAAAATATATTTTTTATTTTTATTTTGTAAATAATCCGTTTACTAAATGGGACTGTATCATGAAAGGAACAAAAATCATTATTTAACAAGATTCAAAACTGGTGCAACGAAATGCACATTGATTTTGTAGTGTAACAAAGAGAGATTTATTGTAAAAAGTACAAAATAGTATATTTATTATCGTGATTTGCGTAGAAATGTATGAGTTTGGGACGAATTTCTGGTGCATTCATAACTAAAGTGATACATTGTCTGGAGCAAGTTCAGATCTTTAACTTATGGCTTGTTTGGTGCTAACTCACCCAATTTAAGTGCACTAGAGGGGATTTTGTCTGTAATGAGCATGCACCTTGAGTTGTTGCTTGGTCCGTGTACGAAAGATAGTAATTTAATACTATACTCGATTAAATGTGAATTTCTAATTTTGAATTTGCGTTTTTTCCTGAAAATAGTTACAATATATGAAAGAGTTGGCAAAACTAGAGGACACGTCTTTAAGGGTTTGGCTCGTGCTTCATGTTAATATGCCGAAACTAAAATAAACGTATATTGGGGGTCGAAAATTGAGAGCTCATATCTTTAAGTGCATGAAATTCTAATTTTTTTTACCTTTCTGAAGCATGAGGTGAGTACATTTTTACATAAAGACAATCAACTTATTGAAAAGCATAGCCTTAATAAATGATCATTCATTTTTCGAAAAAACTTATATATAAAAAAAACAGGATTTGATTTTAGATATCTAGATGTTAGCATTATTAATACTTATTTAAAGTTCTAGGTCTTATATAAATATCATGAAAAAGGATCTAAGTATAGAATTGGATCTTATGACCTAAGGGAAGGATGTGAAAATGAGTATAGAAAAACCAATTTACTTTTCTCTTTTGGCAATACATTGCTTGAATGTAACTATATTTTGTGGCTTTCTTATCGATCCTTTTATATACTGTAATCATATTTCTAATATCATCATTACGACTTAAATAATAAACAGTTCTTGTGGCAACTTGACCAAGTCTTTTTTTTTCAGAGTTTTGAACATAACTATCAACGAAATATTTAAAGTTTTTATAATCATAATCTTCGAATAAAAAATATCGAATTACTGTGATTTTGCCAATTGAATAGTCGAATTTAAAGTCTTTTTGCACAGAAACAGCATCTAACAATTCTTCAACTGAATTAAATCTATTCTTAATTGTAACAATTGCGGTTGCAGCAGAATAATATCTAGGAGTAAATGTTTTTGGATTTTTTGGGAGATGAGGATTGTTCTCTCTTGAGACAAAGTAGTTTCTTACAATGATAAATGAATCAAGTTTGTTATAAATAACAACTATAATACATCGATCTGCCATGCAGCCTGAAAGCGTTTCAACATCTTCAGATAAAACCCCGAGCTTGATTTTAACAGGGATACGGCCACGTGCAGTGAAATCATCATTGAGAACATCATTTTGAACTAATCTGTAATCTATGTATTTGCTCATATAAAAATTTTTAAAAGTGACAACGAGCAAATTTGATTTTTTTTATAATAGAAATAAACTACCTCTCAACATGGAACAACTCATTGAAGAATCTCTCAGTTTTCAAATATCTTGGAACATATTGGTCCAGCATCAATCAATCAATTTTTAACATTGTTTTGTGACAATTGATATCCACATTACAAAGGATATCACACATTAGGACGCTGCATTTGACATTATCTATGCAAGGGTTCGGAGTATCAAATTATAAAATTGGATGGAGCAGTAGAAAACTTTGATTACACTCAAATTCAGACCTCCTCTAAACTAAGTCCTTGTACATATATGAATAAATCTTCAAAAGATTACATGTATTCTTTGCGATGCTCATTTGAGTTTCACAATTCATTGTTTGCTCATGTTATTTTATTTCTTATCCAAATCGGATATTTATTTTTAAATATAAATTTGAGAAGTTTACAATTGAACGTTATATGTCGAATTCCCCTCGTTCTGGTGCTAAGTCCCAGTTAATAACGAATAGGGGTATTCTATCACAGATCAATCCAGTTGTAAGAAAAAAATCAAAAGCTCGAAATATTTTGGTTCCTCCTGAGTGGGATGCGATGACATCAAAAGCATATCGACTCTTAGTAGGTCCAAAAATATCAGATTATGTCGAAATACCTAAAGAAGAAGAAAGTAATGAACCTAAACCAGACAGAAATACTCCAAAGAACGTAAACGATCCGGAAAAATTATTAGCAAATTTATACCCATCAAGACTTGGTGAGGAATTCAAACCATCAGAAGTTACAATAGAACAACTCGATGCATTAACTTTACCAAACGATTTACTTGTTCAAGTTCTTCCACCAGGAGTTCCACCAAAATATGATCTTTTATTATTATCACAAAAGAAGAAATCGATGAAAAAGCCTACAATCAAAAAGAAACCGCTTCCTGACTTACCAGTTTCACTATATACTGATGATACTTTGGATCAAGTTCCAACAACTAAGAGTTCTTTTGGTCTTAAGAGTTCAATGAAGCTTCCAATGTTTCAAGAGGAAGAAGAGGAGGAAGCTCCTCCAACACCGCCTCAACCTGTCGAACAAAAAGATGATCATATCAAGAAACAAAGGACAATTGAAGAAATTGAAGCAAAATTACAACAGAAAAAGCTTATACGTCTCAGAATGTATTTCTATGTCCTGAGATGTTGGGCTTGTTACAACATAAACGCGAGAGCAAAATCTGTTTTCATTACAGACGTCGATAACTCACGTTTACTTCTACATTACATCAGGCATTGGAATGACTATGTCCAAAAGCAACTCGTTCTCAGAAGATGCCGTGCAAAACTCGAAGAATATATTCATAACCAAATGACAACGAAAAGCTGGCAAATCTGGAAGACCAAAGGCAAGAAAGCCATCAAACATGCTCATATTGCAGCACAATACCTTGAAATTCGAAATCAAAATTTACAAAAAACATTTTTCAGATTATTCAAAGAAGTTACATACAGCAAGCGCATAGTACAGCGTGAAATCAAGAAATTCTACAGATTCAAGCCCGACGGACCGTTTACGGAAGTAAATCCTTATTATACCCAAAAAAGAGCTCTGAATGTTAAAGCTCTCCACCACAATTTCATCAAGCGCTCACCCCCAATCATAAAAGCCTGGAAAGCGCAAGTCGAACAGCACAAGAAGGACAAACAACAGTCAGGAATGGTCCATGATATAATTAGACGTGTCACTTTTCATCAATGGTTTGAACTTTACAAAGATCACTTCCATCATCGTGTTTTATCTGAAGTCAGACGTGTTTCTAAGATTTCTCTTCAGAAGAACACGCAAAAGGAACGTGATACAAGCGAAAGAGTTGAGAAAACAGTGATGATTCAACTTGTTCACGACAGAAACATTTTGAATGCAAAATTGAGCCAATTCGATCGTCTCAGCCAGAACCACAAAGAAGCTGTTATCAGGAGAACTCAGCTTCGTGGTGAAATCGCATCAACAACGAACAAATACTTTGTTCGACAGGAAGAACTCAGTCTTGTCGACAGTTTCAAACAAGCGGACGAAGTGGAGAAGAAAACAAGAGAAATCAGAATGCAGTTGGCCGAAGGTTTCTTGTTCCATCTCGGAAGAGCTGTCCGAAGTTACGACAACCAAGTTGTTGCTCATGAATTCTGCCTTGCGTTCCGTGTTCTTTCAAATCCAATTGTTGAAAAGGCTGTTGGATACTTCTACGAGAAGAAACACATAAAGAACCTTCTCGCGTCAACAGTCAGAGCTAGAAAGAGCCTCAAACAAGCAACAACATGTGTCAAAATTTACCATCAAATGTTTGGTTGGAATTTGTGGCGTTCTTTCATCGAAAAGGTGAACGCAAACAGATCGAATGGCATCATGTCATCAATTAGAAGACGCACACAGATCATGCAGTTGTATCCGTACTTCAACTGGGTAGAAGTCCTTCCTGTCAGACCTCCAAGGCCATTGAAGGAAGTTGAGCAAATGTTCAAAGATTTGCCATTGGTTTCGATACAGAGAAAAGTTGCAAGAGAAAGAGTTCATCACGTCAACGTGAGAATGATGCTCATGCAGAGAAGAATGCTCAGAGATTTCATCAGAGCATACGCTTCTTATGTACAAGAACAGATTGCAACACGAACAGTCATTATGTTGTTGAAGAAGAAACAACAATTGACTTTGACAAGGAAAGCTTTCGCAGCGTTTAAAGCTACTGGTGATAAGGTTGCGGAAGATATTCCAAATGCAGAAGAACAAGAAATATCTGCTAACATCACTGCATGGTTCAGACATTTCTTCAGAGAAAGAGCTAGACAGAAAGTTGTTGTCAAGAATATGCCTCTTTCTTAATTATTATTGTTATTTTTTTGTTTTTTATATAAATAATTCTATTATTTAACGAATAATGTGATTAATTGTTTAGGATTTCAAGGCATAAATTTCGCTAGTAATAAAAGTCAATTTTCCAAGGATACATTAAAGTCTTCATTCAATTAAAATATAGTGTTATATGTTCCAGTGTATGTTAGTGTATATTGTCATAGGCAGTTTCCTCTTAGGATCTTCAGATTGCAAGATCTAGATGCCTAAAGCCCCCTAAATATGAAGGTCATCTCAAAAATAAATTACCTTAAAAATCGATTAATTTTCATTCTGCTCCAATATGTGTGTCAGTGTGGTTATTATCTATTTGTTGCAGATCGATTTGCAGTGATGCTCTCAATTTTAAACATTCTTGAAAGCATAGCAAGAATGGCATAAATCGGAATTGTAAACTATTCAAATTTGATTGGGAGTTTATTATTTCTTCGATATCGACCAAACAATTTAAAATATTCAATGCCTATCCATAACAATAACAAAGAATAGCAAAAATCAGTAAAATTGGCCATATTTTTTTGAGATGTAAAAAATTAAGGTTGTCATCCTGTCTTGTAATTGGAAATTTAGCAAGACATATGATAGAGATTATGGTTACATCGTTATTTTGAACATTGAAAATTTTTAGACAAAAAGTGAATTTGGCTATATAAAAACAGATCACTTTTCAAAATGGATCACAAGCAGGATATTGAAAACCTCGCTAAATCATACAACAAGGACTTGTTTTTGCTCCAGACATTATACGAAGAAATTAACTATGATTACGAGAAGCTACAAATGATGGTTATTAACGATGACCCAGCTACAAGCTGGAAATCCAATGAAAAAAGCAAGCCACAACAAGGAAATTCAAAATACGGAAATTCTGGCCCAAAAGAATCTCGTCCAAAGCCAAAGAACAACGGACAGAAGAATAACACAGAAAAAAAGGATGGTCAGCCAGAAAAGAAGGAGGAAAAGCCAGAGAACAAAGAAAACAAGATTGTTACTCAGAAACCAGAAAAAACTGATTTGAAAATCGAGAAAATCAATTTTGCTACTGGTGCAGTTAAATCAAAGCAAAAACCGTCATTCGTAAACGTTCCATCTGTTGGATGGGGAGAACTCAAGACAGATGGCGAAGTTCTTCTTCAAACTACACCACTTCCAGTTCCAGAAAAGAAGCAAGCTCCACCAGCCGAGCCAGAGAAGGTCGAACCAAAGCCAGAGCAGAAGCCAGTAGAAGAGAAGCAGCAGCCAGAAAAGAAGGAGAAACCAGCTCCAAAGGAGAAGAAGTCAAATTCCAAGCAAAATCCAGTTTCAGAGCCAGCTCCACAGAAGAGAAAGGAGCAAAAGGAGAACCAGAAGAACGAGCAGAAGGAAAATACAAAGAAAGAGAACAAGAAGGAGCAACAAAAGCAAAATGCCGAACAGAAGCAAGAAACAAAGGAAGCTCCAAAGGAGGAAGCCAAGCCAGCTCCTGCCAAGGCCGCCAAACAAGAAATTGTCCCAGAAAAGGTCGAATCTCCAAAGGATAATACAAAACAACCAGAACCAGCCAAACAGAACAAGCGCACCCTTAACTTCGATGAATGGCACCCATCAAAGCCTTCTACTCCAGCTCAGCCACCTGTTCAAACTCCACAACCAGAAATCAAGCCACAGACACAGGAAACAAAGCCAGTCCAAGGCATCGGCTTCGATTCTGTCCTCTCTCCAAAGGCTCCTGTCCCAGAACCAGCTCCACAGAAGCATTTCGCCCAATATCAGCCACCAAAGCAACAAGAACAAGCTCCAGTACAACAGGAAAAGCCACAAGAAAAGATCGCCGAGCCAGTTTACAAACACGGAAAGAATCCGAAGTTGAATTTCCCAGGACCAAGATCCAACGGCCCAGAAACAATTCTCAAGCTCCCAATCGCTGTCAAGGAATACACACCAAAGTACAATCTCTTTGGCACATTCGCTGGCCCAGTTCAGCACCAGAAGCAACATAACAATTTAATGCTCTCAACATGCAATTCTGAGCAGCGCTTCAAGGAAAATTCTGAGAAGGAGACACAATCAGAACAGGCCAAGCACGTTGACAGCTTTACATCCCCACAAACAACTACATCTGCTCAACCAGCACCACAACCAGCTCCACAGCAGCAACAAATGAATCAATCACAGGCAATGTACAACGAGTTCATGAATTACTGCTTCTGGCGCCAACAACAGCAGATGTACACTGATTTCTTCAAAATGCAGCAGATGAGACCACCAATGATGAACCCAACACAGCCAATGCAACCACCAATGCAGCCAATGCAACCACCAATGCAGCCAATGCAACAGCAAATGCCTATTAATGAGCAAATGTTTAATGAATTCATGAGAATGAGACAAACATATAATCCTGAAGGACAAAAGTAAAGAATTCATATATAATTTAGATATAGCAATTGATACAATACTTTTTTTAAAATATTTTTCTTTCAAAATTTAATATTCCAAAATTTTACTATCAATTTCATTAATTTTTATCATTTTTCTATGAATATAACAATTCTCTCTCAATAAAGTCACTTTTATCTTCAAATAATTAAATAAGATTTGGCTGAAGGTTTGAATTTGATTGAAAGATCATACCAAATAAAACTTATTACCCTCCTAATAGCAATTTTGCTTATTATTTTAACTATATTATACCGAATTTTCCCGAAATACACTTCAGATGCAATTATTCAAGAATTAGATCCACATTTCAATTACAGATTTGCCACTTACTTAGATAAACACGGCATTTTATCGTATTTTGAATGGTTTGACAATGAGTCTTGGTGTCCTCAAGGAAGATTTATCGGAGAATCAAGTTATCCAGGACTTATGATATGCACAGTTCTTACAAAACAGTTTTTAGAAAAGCTTCACATTCAAATTACAATCTATAATGCATGTTTACTTTTCGGAATTTTTTCATCTATCATATTACTAATCTATTCTTACAGAATGGGTAGATTACTCGAAAATATCCGTTTTCCTCTAATAATTCCATTATTTATTACCTTTACACCAGTTTTTATTTCAAAAACAAACCTAGGTGAATATGATTACGAGTGTTTCTCTATTACACTCATATTTATTAGCATATACTATTATCAATATGCCCTCAAATACAAATCATTACTAGCAACAATAATTTCTTCGTTATTTTTTGGATTTTTATCATGGACATGGGGTGGATATATATTTGTATTAGCTGCCGTAAGTATGCATACCATTTTTTTGATAGTTTTTAGAAAATTTAATTTTAATATTTATATTATTTACAGTTTTTGGTTTATCATGTCAATATTGTTTGCTGCTCATCTCCCATCAGCATATTATAAGTTCATAGTTAAGCCAGAAAATGTTATTTTGATATTTTTGTTTATTTTGATTCAATTTTATTCAATTTTGAGAGTTTTATTCTATATTCTTACTCCAGGAACACGGAATTCACTAATTGTAATAGTTTCTATACTCTCTTTTGCTTGTTTCTTTGCATTTTTACTTTCTAATCAAATGAATTTCGAAAATCGAATTTTAAGATTAATTTCTCCTTTTTCGAAGGAAAAAGACTTGCAAATTAACATACAAGAGCATCAGCCGACAGCATGGTCGCTATTTTACGTAAGCTGCGGACCTTTCTTGTATTTGCTTCCAATAGGAATCATAATTTTGTTGAAAGAAAAAAATATTGAATTATCTTTTATAACTATCTTGACAACTGTATCATTTTACACTAGCATAATGATGAATAGGACATTACTAGTGTTCGCACCATTCCAGGCTTTAGTTTGCGCAGTATCTTTCGATAATATATTATCAAACATTATGAAAAAGAAGAAACATTATATTATATTGATTCTTTTATTCCTATTATGCATATTTCAATCGAATAATTGTACACATTACGCATCAGATGTAGAGAATTACGTTCATTTCCAAATTGAAACACCTCAAGGAGTAGAATTAAGTGATGACCATAGAGAATTATACCAATACATCAGACACCAAGGCAAAAATAAGCCAAAAATTGTTTCATTTTGGGATATTGCTTACCAAATGCAAGTCTTATCAAATTGCGTAACATACAATGATGGTAATACTAACAATAGAACGCATATGTCTAATATAGAAATGATTTATTCAGAAAATGAAAATAATGCCTGGACAATAAGTCGTTCTTTAGATGCAGACTATATAGTAGTTACTTTTGGAGGAGCAAGCAATTATGAGAATGACGATATTATGAAGTTCCCTCTTATATTACAGAATCTTCCAAATTTCTTTTCAAATATCTCTCTTTCTGATTATCAGAATGATGATGTTTTCTTAGTTTGTCCAAATATGAGACCGAAAATGTTAGAATCCATGTTAGTTAGATTTTCTTATAATAATTTTAAGAAATTTACGTTCGGTAATAAGACGAAGCCCGGGCATGACACAATTCGAGGCTGTGTCGTCAAGTACCAAGCTTCTAAAATGACAAAATTTACTGAAGCTTACACTACTTCTAATTGGTTGCTAAGATTATACAAAGTCAGCCCAGACCCAATATGGAATAGAGTATACTAAACAAGTATTTTGTATTTCTTTCGTAGAAATTTTTTGATTGTGCATCTGACCAGATTCGATTGGAACATCGCATATTAATATCATAAATTGATTATATTATTGGTATCCATTGGAATTTTCCCTCATTAGTTAAAGAAGGAGTTATTACACTCACTTTTCGATTTTATTTCGAACGAAATTGTTAGGAACATACTCAAGATCATTATTATGTAAGAAAATTCGTTCCGTTTGTGTAAATCTTTTTTCTGATGTTTACAAATTGGCGGGGTCATTTTGTTATGAGTAGTATATTAAATTGGAATAGCTATCGAGCATTATTTAAGCACATTGATGCTAACTATTCCAAAATAAGGCACCGCTTGTTTGCCTCAAAGCCAAACGCCTTAAAGCTGTTCGAAGCATTGATTTTGTTTCTCAGCATCATCATTGCAGCTGGCTTAGTCGCAGCATTGCATCCAATATTCGATCCAAGCCCTCGTCCAGATTTAGATCTCAGTTTCTTTGAAAGAATTGGTAAATTCATTGGAGATTTACTTGATATACTTGTATATCCTATCAAATGGCTCCTCGAACACGGAATTATCAAGCCACTCTGGTCATTCGTCAAATGGCTTGGCAATCTCCTTTGGGCACCGTTTAAATACCTTGGACAGCTCTTAGGTTTCATATACAATTGGTTGAAGAACCTCCATGTAGGAAAATGGATCCGCGATCTTTGCAATTCCATCTGCAATGGAATCAAGCAGTTATTAAGCAAGATTGGAAAGTTCTTAGTTGCCATCAAGGACTTCATCGTCAAACTTTTCAGTGAATCCATTGTTATCTTCCTCAAAATGCTTTGGCAACTCATTATTTATCCATTCCGCCTCCTTAAGCAGGTTCTTATCCAAATCTGGCATGGCCTCATCAGATTCATCATATACACAATCAATGGCATCAAATGGATCTTCTCCAAGATCTTTAACGGTATCAAATGGTTCTTCTCAACAATCTACCAAGGCATCAAGTCCGTATGCGCAGCCATCGCCAAGTTCTTCAAAGAACACCCATTCTGGGAAGCTGTCATGAAGCTCATCAACTTCATTTGGGAAGGAATCAAGAAACTCTTCAACCTCATCTTACAAGGAATCCTTTATCCATTCAGACTCATTGGCCGCTCCCTCAGGTTTGTTTGGAGACAGATTTGCAGTTTCTGCGTTGCTGTCAAGGAATTCATTAAGAAACACCTTCATTGGTCTAAATTAGTTGAACTCATTTGCAACTTCTTCAGATTCCTTCTTAAAATCATTCTTGCTCCATTCCGTTTCATCAAGTTTGTCTTACTTAACATTTGGGCTGGCATCAAGTTCATTTTCGGTAAGATTTGGGACTTCATCAAACACTTTGAGCTCATGAAATTCATTATTGCAATTGGTAAAGCCATTGCTTATCCATTCATTAAGCTTTGGCAGTTAATTTACATAGTACTCAAGTTCATTTTCGTTGACATTCCTAAAAGACTATGGAATATCCCCCGTCCCACAGGTCTAAACATTGACTGGGTGAAATTCTTTGGAAAAATTGGAAAGGCCATTGCTTATCCATTTGTTCAGCTTTTCAAAGCAATTTACAAGGGTTTCAAGTATATCTTGGAATTAATTGTTAAATTCTTTGTTTCATGCTGGAGAGGATTCAAGAAGATCATTGACTATATTTTCAACCTCGATTTTTGGAAATTTGTACAGTTGTTGCTCGACATCTTTCTTTATCCATTCAGACTCATCAAGCGCTTACTCCTTGCTATTTTCGGATACGTTCTTCGTTTCTTCAAATGGATTGGCACTGGAATTAAGAACTTCATCATTTGCATTGGAACAGGAATCAAGAAATTCTGCAAAGCTATCTGGGACTTCTTTGTCAATTTACCATTAGTTAATTTATTGTTGTGGCCTTTAAGAATGATCAAGAGAATTGTTTTAACAATTTCACATTGGATCTGGGAATTCTTCAAGTGTTTGTGGTTCAATTTAATTGTCAGACCAATCATATGGTTAAAGGAAAACTTACTTAAGTATTTACTTTATCCACTCGTTTTGATCAAGAAAGCATTGAAATGGCTCGCACATATTTCCTATATTTTCTGGACTCGCATTTGCATTGGTTTGCACAAATTATGGAACTTCATAATCAACATTCCATTCCTTCGTATTTTACTTTATCCACTCAGACTTATCAAGGCAATTATTTACGCAATTGTCATCAATCCATTGAAGAGTCTTCTTGGATTCATCTGGACAATAATCACATGGCCATTCTTAAACATGCCAGGACTCAAAGTTATTTGGGCAAGTATCGTTCAATTCTGGAACGATGTTTGTAAAGATTTCGAAAACGAATGCTAAGAAAAGTTAGTATTTAATATTAATTATTTTATATTTATATATATATTTTATTTTTTTATTTTTTACCTTCTTTGAATAAACACCTTTTTTTATTTCCCTTTTTTTCCAAATCATCAAAATATTTTTACATTTTTCCAATCAAAATACAATGAGAGACATTCCAATCATTTGATTTTGATACAAAATGTTTCACAATCTTCTTCTTTCTTCTTCAATCATATTCAATCTTGTCAAATACTTATGATATTTTGAATATGCGTTAACATTAGAAAGTGATATAATTTTTGAAATTGCAAAACCTTACAATGATTAAATATTGTAAATTTTTATATTTAATGCGTTTTTCATGAATATAGTTGGCAAATAAAAGCACTCTATAATGTATGATTTAGGTAAGTATAGAAAAGGTTATTGCCCAGATATTGAATTCTGAATTTGTTTCATTTTAATTATATAGTTAATTTCGCTAGTGAAATATGACAGAAACATGGTATATTAAATATTGCTTGTATGAAATACAGAAAATAATTCATGTCGTCTATCAAAAAGTAATTTCTAAACGGTCACATTCCAAAAGATGAATGTTGAATCATTATTAGCTCAAGCCACTGTTGCTAAAGATAGATATATTGAAGTTGAAGCCAAAAACAACGATTACAAGTTAATCCTTGACAATCAGAAAGTCTTAATCAACGATTTTGCCCAATCAATGCCAGACATCGACGAAACAGAAAAGAAGATGCAAGAATTAGACAATGAAATTGCTTCAATTGATGAGCAGCTTCAGCAGTCTCAATCTATTTTAATTCAAGCATTATCTGCTAATAAGGCAAAGAAAGAATCAACAGACGTATCAGGCATCCTTAGCAACACAATAAGCACCCTTCAAGATACATTATTCGATCTTGGATCTGCTGCTACTTCCCAGAACGAATTTAATGTTCCAATCTTTAAATTAATCGATCTTGAAGAAAGCGTTTCTAAGATCATCGGCTCTCTTGAAGAAGCTAACTTATATCCAGAGTCTGAAAAGGATCATGCTGAGAGAATCAAGAGAACACAGCTCCACTCTGCAAAGTTAGCACAGTTCCTTCGCCTTTTGAAGGAAATCTACGCAAAGGCATCAGCTGAGCAAAAAGAATAATTGAATTTTTATCATTAATATAACATATTTTTTTATGTTTGTTAGGTTTACAAAATTTGAATAAAACCTCATATTCTTTTTACCATATTATGAATGTATTTTCGAAAGGAACAAGATGAATTGATTTTATTAGAATTTTTCTTTTTCAAATCTTGATGGATGTATAATTTATGAAATTTGTAATCAATGAGCTTGGTATACATAGATGCAACTTTAGTAATAGTATGTAAAAGATCTTAGCTATAGTTCTAATGTGTTCAGGCGATATTTTGTTGAGAAATGGATGCATATGATGAAGTTTGTTGGTATCATATTTTTTCCTTTTTTTTATAATTAAATGGATTTATATCCAATAGAACAAGATTTTGGAGCTCATAAATCATCATCAATAGTTTAGACATCATATACTTTATTAGAATCGCTTCCATTAATCTGATTATCCATGATTAAAACAGATGTTTTATGAAGAACATTTCCATGAGGAAAAAAAAAATCAAAATTTCAAAAGATGATTCTTGTTTAACTTTTTTTATGAAGAAAGAAGAGATCAATTATTCGGCAAATCATGTTTAAGAATAAGAGATGCATAATCTACTATTTGAACATACAATGATTCGTAATTCTCGTGAAATGATGTTGTTTTTATGTAAAAAAAGTAAAATTTGTTATTTTTTTTAAGTTTTATCAAAAGATTTTAAAATAGAGAAAATGTTCTTAACGTGTAACTCTGTATTCTTCAACGCGCTTGAGGAGTTCGATCAATTCTGGAGAAGATTTGAAGTGATCACGAACTGGCTGGATGCAAGCGTCGACAGCTTCAGCGACAGCCATTACGAGGCCCTTCTTTGCCTCATCATCCTTGAAGAAGGATGGGAAGTCGGCTTCGACGTCTTCGATCTTTGTGTATTCCTTTCCGTTGATTGTAATTGAGCCGAGTTTTCTAAGAATGATGTACTTGATGTATTCGAAGAGTGGGTTTTCGGCTGCTTCTGGTGGATTGTAAGCGTTCATCATCTTTTCGACGATTCTATCCTTTTCATCTTCGATAAAGATAGCGGACATTGGGTCTGACTTAGACATCTTGTGAGCCTTGCCCTTTAAGCCCATAAGCATGTGGTGGGAAAGAATAATTGGAGATGGTCTCTTTACGTGGTTTGCGTATTCAATAGCGAGCATGTTGACCTTACGCTGATCAACGCCGAGCTGGCAGATATCAACATCAAGCATGAAAACATCTGTAGCTTGCATGCAAGGGTAAAGAAGCTGAGAAAGTGAAAGTTTGTCACCTTCTGTACGTCCCATAGCTGTAACTGTACGTTTGATACGTGAAAGTGTTGCAAATGATGAAATATCGTGAACAAGCTCGAAATATTCTCTCTGATGCTCCTTGATGAAATCTGCTGTCCAAATGATTTCAACATGATCAAGGTCCATGCCGCAGGCCTTGAATACTTCAACGAAGTATCTGCCGACATCGTGGATCTTTTTCATGTCGCCGCCCATTTTGTGGTTTAATTGAGCGAAAAGATCTGCGATGTAGAGAACCATTGTACCACCAGCCTTTGTAATAGCATTGCAGTTAATTGCTGTGACAAGAGCTTGGGCAATATGCATACGACCACTTGGCTCAAAACCATTGTATGCACGGAAATTTGGCTTTTTCTCAAGAAGTTCTTCAATGCGCTCGTTTCCTTGGATGTCTTCTGCGATGGAACGAAGTAAGGCAGCCTTCTCGGCAATGCTGAGATTAGACATTTATAAATCAAACAAACTTGTTGAATTTAGTACCCCAAAAATTTTGTAAATTGAATGATAACTTTGCCCCTACAATTTAGTGATAAAAGTGACATTTTTGACAGTCTCCAAAATATTCGATAAAATGCTAAATATATATGGTAAAAATTATTCAAAGAATGCCAACAAACCAAAATTCATGGATGTTTTCTCTTTTTATTCAATTTCAGATTGAAATTAATCTTAATATGCACATTGATATAACTTAAACAACATATTATTAATAAAAACAAGAATCAAGAGATGATTTTGACATGAAGCATAATTAAACTTCGGTAAAATTTATACCTGAAATATCCGAATAGTTTAAGAAGAAATGCTTATAGAATTATGTATCCCCATAGAATTGCGTTATAACGAATATATTATTATTGAATGAAAACACTGTTATATACTTGATACATCAAAATGAGTTCAAACAGAGCTTTATCTATTGAGTCAAAGAGTTTATCATTCAGTTTGATAAAAATGGAAAGTAAATTATTAAACATACATAATTATTTTTAGATATAAAAGAAAAATTAAAAAATCAAACAGATATAAAATAGCAAACAAAACATATAAAGGTTATAATACAAAAGTATTTGGACTTGGCTCCTTTCTTTCAGGTAAAGTCAAGTTACTCTTGAAATAAGAGGATCCAGTTGAAGAAGACTCTTTCTTTTGGGTAGAAGACGTGTTAGTATCATTAGATGATATTGTTGTTGACCCAGAAGTGTTGGAAGACTTGTTTGTCATGTAATTATAAGCGTGATTTGTACTAATATTGGAATTAGTTACTCCATTATCAGAGAAATCATCTACATCTTCCAATGAGTCGTTATCCTTCTTATCTTTTATCTCACGAGTCTTATATCTTTTTCCGATTGTGCATAAAACAGCAATCAGCACAATTCCAACAATTACAGCAGCAACAGATATCAAAGCAATCTGCAATGATGTCAGTTTCTTACTAGGACTTGCTGTTTGACTAGAGAAATTTAATTTCGGATCTCTTGTTCCGAGATTGAGAATTTCGCAGAAGGATTCATTGTAGTACGTGAACGGGAAGTCCATGTACGACGTAGTTCCTCTGAAAGCTCCTGATTTCTCTCCGCATGGAGTTCCGCTTTTGCTGACAGCAACTGTTGATCCGGCCTGGCCATCAGAGGTCACTTCACTTAGTGTCGACCACTTAGAGAGGATTGACCTTGATCTGAGGTAATTTGTGTATTTTGGTTCTGTAAACTTGCCTTTTCTCTCGTATTGGAACTCAAACGTGCTGAACTCATCAAGGTTTTGTCTGTAGGACTCGAGAGTGAGCATACTTGAGCCAATATACCAAATACGGATTCTTTGGTCTGTTTCAACGGAGAAATTCGCGTTTTTACCACCGAAAACTTTGGAGTTGTACGCGGCAGTGAATCCATCTGATCCTAATGCTGCAATTGTCACTACATCAACAGAATTACAATTTTGGAACAAATTCAACTTTTTGTAATTCAAAACGCTGATGTTGAGGATCCTATTTGATGCATCTTTGTTTGGCTTAATGAGAGCCGCCAACTGGAAATCAGTGACGTTTAAAACGAAATCTTTGTCTGAAAGGAAAGTTACGCCATTTCCAAGAGCGGTGAAGTGCTGCGGGTTATGGAAGATGTAAATAGTGTAGCTGGTGAACTGTAATGTCGATCGTTCGTCTGGAATGTAATATTGATAAAATCCGGTAGAAAATCTACTGAAAGACTTAGTATAAGGGACAGGAGGTAACGCATCAATTGAACTACACCAGTTTTGAACGAAATCTTGGTCAGAAATCGGTGGAGATATAACTGTTGATTTTTCAAGGCAAAGAATACTCGAACCCGTATTCTTTGTATTTGTTATATGTATAAAAACTGATTTCTGGCGTTCAATCTAGCCTATGTCGTCTGTAAGTCCGACAATGAAATTTCCATTTGGCTTGTAAAGCTGAATTTCATCAGCAATGTTCTGTACGTAGAAGTAATAGTCAATAACATATGGACTTGATAATATAAGACAAATATTATGGAGATTTTCTGTATTTAGTAAAAATGAAGCGTTATTTCCATTGTAAATGAATGTATCTCGGCATTCTTCGTTTGACTGCATTATAACTGAGAAGTAGATCTTATGAGAACCGTTAATTGGAGTAATTAATACGGTCGAAATTTGATTTATCATAAATGCTTTGTTTTGATATGCCGTTACGTGGTCTGGAGTCCAAATATCAAAATCATCTGGATTGTGGATAATTAAATAATGGTTTGGCATCCAATTTATTTCTGTTCGTTCTGCAACGTCATAGGAGTAGTCTTTTGGCTCCAAATAAACTCCGGAGTCATAAATAAGGATTGTGCCTTCAACGAAATAGCTGTCAGTGCGATAAATCAATGTAAATGCGTTCGCATTATATTTGAAAGTATCATAAGGAGCCATTGTGTAAACAAGTTGATTATTGTCAGTATATACGTGAACTGAGTCGTCATCATCGATATCTATTGTTCTTATTACGAATAATGTTTTTGATGGTTCTTGGTTGAAAAATGCATAGCAATATACTTTGTTATCCTCTGTCCCGTTGGCTGCTATTGAATAATATGGATCGTAAACAACTTTCCATTGACATGATCGAGAAGGAGTATTTAAAAGACCAATTTCTATATCGACAGCCTGGTGATTTAGTGGTGTAATTCTGAAAGTTTCTGTTGGAATTGTAAATACATACTTTTCAATGATGTCAATCCGTTGTAGTGAAGAATCGGGAAAATATAAGATTGAACTTGTAGTTGGGATTATATCTAGGCCTTCTTGAGGAATATGAAGCGTTTGTGGGTAGCCCGGCGAAATTGTAAGCTTCTGAACCCCTCTACAAAAACAAATCAAGATCGAAAACATTGAGTAAAAATTAATCTCAAAACATCACTCTCAATAATTTCAATTAGGTATTAAATTTCAGCGTAAACAGTTGCAGGTTTTTTAGATTATGGATAGGATGTAGAATAAATGTCCATGGTCGATTTTGTAAAAATTTGTGAATGATAAATTTTAATGTAACATTACTTGATATTTGAATATTTGATAAAAATAGAGATGGGAAAACTTACGCTCTTGAAAATCTCATAAATTGAAAAGAGAAATAAAATCTAGGCAATTTTATTAAAAATCCTAACTACACAATGGAATGTATAATATCTCGAATTCGTCATGATTATTTTTTGAGATGAATTGAAAATAAATTACTGTAAATTACTAGTAGATATACAATATTACATATAAGAGAAGAAATTTGAATGCATATTCAAAATTTTAAAAAATTTCAGAAAACATTTAAATTTTAAAGTCATCAATAATAAATTCATAGTCCACAACTATTGTAATCAATCAAGTTGAACAATCCTAACGTTTTGATACTTTTCAGTACTTTACAATCATGAGGTTCCCAGAAATCTTCTTCCAAATGATGAATTCTTCATTATTTCAATTGTTATTTCCTATTGAACTTCATTGCTAAGCTAATTACAGATATTTTCGTTTCTTATTTTTGATAGAAATCTCCTAGTCCTGTGTTTTTTTGATAATTTAAACAATATCAGCATTTTTCGGATATTATTCTTAACTTTCCAACATGCTGAGGAATCAAGACAAGTAATAACTGAAAAATTATAGAATTACGTTTGAATATCCTTCTGTTAACGTAATTATTGAGTAATTCATTGATATTATACGATGAAAAAACTAAAATATCTCATTATCACTTGAATGCTCATTCCAGATTCATAAAAATCCTTCAAAGTGATAGAGTCGAGAATTTTTCTCGTTTTTAAAATCTTAAAAAGTGACAATCGAAAATGCAGGGATTTACTCCTGAGCAGATGCAGATAATATCGAATCTGCTTGATGAGCAAGTTGGAACCCTGCAGAGAGAAAATGATCAACTACGTCAACAGATTTCGATTTTGAGTGATGGCACATCAATTAAACGTTCGGATTATCAGGATTTGGAAGACAGGTATAGAAAAGAACAAGAGGAATCCATGAAACTAAACCGTGAGTTGAATGATATGAAGTCAAAATACGCTGCAGCAATGAATCAAAATAGAATCCTTGAGACGCAAGTAAACAGTCACAACAAAGATGTAAATACAAGTACACAAGCATTGAAAACTAAGGATGATAAAATCAACCAATTACAAGAAGAAATTAAACAACTTGATCAAAGAATTATGAAGCAAAAGCTAGACTTATCAGCATTTCTTATGGAGAAAACTGATATGCAACAAAAGATTAACGATCTTTGCCAACAAAACCTTGAATTACAGAATGTAACGCAAGAATTAATCGAAAAAGACAACCAATTAGTCAGCGCATTAAGCGATAATGCAACTGAGCTTGCTGATAAAGAGAGGCAGATTGATGATCTCGAAAAGAAAATCAGAAAACTCGAATCAAAAATTCCATCAAAAGAAAATACAGAAATAGAGATTCCTCTTGCTTCAACAACAGAAATAACTGAATCTCAAACTGTCATTGACGAAGGGTTACTTAAGAAATACCAAGATGTTAAAGCAGAAAATCGACAATTAAATTCTCAACTCAGGCAATTCTCAGAAGATATTAAGAGAATAGAAAGACTCCAGACAGCTGTTGAGAAAAAGAAGAAAGAAATTGACATTCTACAGCAAATGCTTGATAAAAGTGAACAAGAAAAAAGAGAACTTCATCAAATTGCAGACCAGTTCAGCATAGACCTGAAAAATACCAAAGATAAATTAAGTATTACAGAACAGACATGCGAAGAAAAGGTTAAAGCCATTGAAAGAGAAATTCAAATTTATAAAGAAAGATTTGACCATGATACAAACCACAGAGAAGCTCTAGAAGTCGAAGTTGTTGAGAAAACAAAAGAAATCAATGAGTTAAGAGAGACAAATCAACAATTGGAACGTGGCGAATTTGGATTATCTCAAGCTGTCACTCAGATCAAGGAATTAAAAGCAATGATTGATCTTAGAGATAAATCCATCACACATCTCGTAAGAGAACTCAATACAATGGATAAAATCATTGATGGCCTCGCTGGAGTTATTCAACCAGATTTTGATGTTGAAAAATTTATCGTCAGTGTTGAAGATGATATTGCAAAAGCTCAGGATAACAGACTGATGATTGCTTCTCGCGAACTGAATAAGCGATTGGATGATTTAAGGCATAAAAGACCGCATTCTCAAATTAAAATTATTATTGAGAACAAAGAAGACCAGGATATGCATATGACAGCTACACTCTATGGAAAGAATAATGATATAGAGTCAGGTGGTAGTGCTGTGCCTTCAAATTTCGTTACAAGAGATTTACAAAACGATTATGTGAACGAAGAAGAAGATTTGAACACAATCAAAGAGGATGAAAATGAAAAGACCAAGAGAGCATCCTTTGATGAGTTCCAATCCAGCAGTTTACCATCAGATTCTTATTCAATAGAATCATTTGACAGAACTTCACAAGAAAGACTTGTTCCTCCTAAGCCAGAACCCGTAGAAGTCGAATATGCTGACATAGAGACACAATGCAGGCCAGAAACAAGCATGAGTACAATTCCAACAATTAAACCAGAGCCAAAACCAGAAGATAACACATACAAAGACTGGATAGAGAATATGAAACGTGATTACAAGAAGGCTGTCCAGCAAACTCGCGATCTTTCCATGGAAAACGACGAATTAAAAGCGAAGGTTGACAAATTGTTCGAAGAAAAGAAGAAATTACAAGACCAGCTTGCCAGGAAAGATGATGAAAAGAAGGATCATGAAGAAGAAGAGAAGACATTGCGTATGACAATCGACAGAATGGAACTTGAAAATGAAAAAACGAGAATCAAAGCGAATATCAAAGCAAAACTTTATACTTCCGCAACATTTTCAAGTGCAAACATTCCTGCCATCATTCCTAACAAATTACAGAGTTCAACATTGGATTGTTTGGTTGATAATCCATCAGATCCATTAGTTTTGAAGATTAAAAGTCCTGAAACAATTTCAATTTTGCCTTCTGAAGCAGAATTGAAGAGAATGAGAGCCAAAGAAGATGCAGCGAATGAAAAGGTGAAACAGGCAACAACAGAAATTGTTTCTTTGCAGAGATTAGTTGCTGATTCTCAAACGAAACTCGATCAGAAAGACAGAACAATTAAAGAAAGAGACCAAACAATCAACAGATTGGAGAAAAATATGCAGGATGAAAGAGAAAAATACAAAGAGAGAATACACGAGATAACTAAGCAAGCACAAGATACGATGAATGCACAGATGAGAGAAGCTTTGGATCCAAGTCTTTCCGGTGTTCACAGTACAGAAACTGATTATAGAAAACTTCCTGAAGTTTCTGAATACATAAATAACTTGAAACGCGAAAATAATTCTTTGAAAGAAAGAAACGAAGAGTTGCAACAGCTGTTCCAAAGCATAAAGAACGACGCTGAGTCATTAAGAGTCAAGGTAAAACAACTGGAAGCTGAAAGGAACAATAATGATGACGAAAACAAACCAGATAGGGATGAAAATCAGCAAACAAATATGGAATACATGAGAAAATTACAGAGACAAAACTCAGAACTGAAAAAGAAAATCATGTATTATTCAGATGAAAATGAAAAGTTGAGAGCTTTGAGAGAAAGAAAGGAAATTGATGATAGAAAGATAGAAGACAATAATGATAATAATTCACAGGAAACTATTGAGAAATTGACATTGAAGAATAAAACAATCGCTCAAAAATACAATAATTTGAAACAAGCTCATATGGACCAAGCTGCTGCTCTCGAGAAAGAAAAACAGAAGGGAGAAAGACTTAAAAGCGCTCTACAGAAGAAGGAAGAAACTGTTCAGTTACTGACTGAAAAGAATCAAAGATATAAACATCAGAACGAAAAACTCAAAGCACTTATAAATAAGAAGAAAGAAGGTCAAAATTGAACATATTTTTTGTTATTATTTATTTATATATTTTTGTTTGTAAAAGCATAAAAATTATCATACTTTTAGTTTGATTTGATAACAATTCTCACTTGAATATTTACCCTGCTTGAAACGGAGTATTTTATGTTATGGGGGTATTAATTCATAACAAAATTGAGTATAAGAATCGCTGATCAGCTTTTCAAGCTGAATATCTATAATGATCACTGTAGATATATTTCTTTAACTCCCGTCAATTGTTTGCATCGAATCAATAAAATCAGAGAAAAATATCCTCATTCAACTTAAACTAACAATCAAAATCGAATATGAAGAAGAGTGGCCAATTTTTTTCTTTTTATTCTGAAAGTGCACCATGTCAATAGCAATTTTTGTTGCCCATGATTAAAATTATATCCACTACAAGTTGATTGAAAAGAAATTTATAGAAAATAGTGTTTTTTATTTCCATTATTAAAGAGAAATTAAATTTCTTAAATCAAGTTTTTGGAGTTCAATGATGCAGTCAAATCATTAGAAAGAAGAGATTCCTTTGGAGTTCTCAACTTGCACAATAAAATGATAGCAAGAACCATAAATGTGAGGCAGAAGAATGAAATGACTCCGATTGTTATCAGTGCTTGTTTAGAGAACATTTTCTCATGGCAGTCAGGAGGTAAAGGTGTTGGTGTTGGAGGTAATGGTGGATCATTCTTCAGCCAGTCAGTGACAGCATTGATTATGTCAATTCTGATCTTCTTGAGAATCAATGAATCAAAGTCTTTCTCTGGATTCAAATCGAAGGAATATCCGCCGCCCATGATGTTCTTCGAGCGCTTGTAAATACTTCCATCTTCAAGTGTGCATGATGCTTCTAAGAAAGCATCGTTGAAACCGTGAGTGAAGAAGGTCTTCTTGGCTGGTGGGAATCTTCCTCCGTACTTCTGGTTGAAGAGTGTTGTGTTTGGAAGCTTATCAATTCCGAATAAATCTGTGCAAACAGATGTCCAGTATTTAGGATTGATACTGATATCTCTGAACTCTGGATTAGGTCCTGCGCATTGGAATGATGCCATTTCATTGCACTTTACGTAATATTCAACTCTTGTTGCGGCCAATTTGGAGTTTTTGCTTGGATCTTTGATCATATGTGGCCAGAGATAAATAAACTCCTCTTTTAGAACAAATTTCGGAATAAATTCGCCAAATAAATCTAATACTGCATTTTCCTCAGTATATTCGCCTGTATTTAATCTATTGCAGAGATTAAGGAATTCTGGATAGAGATCTGGTAAGCGCATGCCTCTGCTGATGGCTTCTGTAAACATATGATTGAAATCAGTTGGTAAGTCTTTGAGACCGGATGTACTGTTGAGGCCGAACCTCTCTTGCATGGCTACTGTAGAATCATCCTTTCTGTAGGCGATATCGTCGATAATTTTGTAAGCTTTCATCATATACTGGTAACAGTTACCCCATTGAGTCATTGCGACAGCCTCATGGTGATCGTACCATAAGAACTCTGGATCTGAAAGTAAGAAGGCTGATGAGGACCATGTGCCGACAATATTTAATTCTTTTCCTTTTTGCATGTGAATCCATGTGGCAAGGGATGCACCAAAGCCTCTTCCTATGGTTGCAACTCTGCACTTAGAAGCATCATTGCAATACTCCTTCTTCATTGCAATAATAAATTCTTTGATGTCATCAAGGTGTTGATCAATTGTATTGTATTTAAGGTTCTCTGTTGAAAGATCATCTGTTGGAATTGAGTTACCAAAGTATCTGTTTTCAAGTGCAACTATAGGAGACTGAGTATTATTTGCAATTCTATTCATTGGACTATCAGTAAGATCTGATGCACTTAAACTTGTGAATCCACCGATATAGACAATTAGGTAATCTGATTTTTTACCATGGTCTGTGCTAACAAAATACTTTTGAGAAAATGTTTTGCCTGGATTTGCATGATCAAGAGTTTGGGTGAATGTTTTGGCTTCATATTGTTCGCATAAAGATTTGATTGTTAAGAATGGTAACATTTATCAATGTAGCAAAATAAATTATGGCAAAAAAAGTGTTCTAGTTACATTGCCCATTGTTGGATATGTACATCTTTTTAGCATAGTATTTGGGCATCTAATTCATGAAATTTACTCCAAAATATTCAAATTTCTACCTGTCATAATTAATAGCATTTCCATCTTAGGGTTTTTAGAAACAAATGATTAAATATATCCGAATTAAGCATATTTTAAAGATTGTCAACTTGACACTAGCTCAAAATCAGATAAGTTATTAGATCAAATCGAAGATCAGAGTTTAAAAGAGATGTTATTGGATGGATAGGTTTGAATGTTAGCTGGGTTCTCAAATATATCATTCATTTCAATTGAGTTTTACTGAGAAATGAATATTTCAAAAAAGAAAAAGAATTTAAAATAATTCATGAATGATTTGCCGGAGCATAATTCATATGATATGAACGAAATCACGGCATATCCATTTCCAAGGTCTTTTCGTGGGGCAAGGTCACTTGCTGGAGAAGGAAATGATTCATAGCCGCTTTTCATCACTGTAGAAAAAAATTTGATTCCTGAGTAATGAATACTTTGATTCGAAAGATAAATTCTTTCTTGCGAGGTTGAGGTATTAAGGATAGCATTGCACCCATTGTGCCCAGAGATGAAAGATGATCCAGAGGATCCTATTCCAACAATGCAGTAGGCTACAGCACTTCCTGCACCTCCAAAATAACCCCCGCTTCCGCCAGAGGTATAAACTTTGTCGGAAGAAAATGGATTGCCTGCCCATCCAAACTTTCCATCTTCGGCAGTTTCAACATCACCTTTCCCACTTATTCCTCCTCGTTCTTGAGTTGCTCCTATTGCTTCCGTAATATGACCTAAATAGTCGCAATTCTCGATCATAGATATTCCATTAAATCCGGTTAAATTTCCACCATGCGTTCCGGTGAAATAAGCAAATGTTAGGTGGCCTCCAACGCCACCAGCAGCAACCATTATGCGACTCTTAAGACTTTCGAAGTCATCCCATTCGCCAGCAACGAGTCGAATGTCAGAAGATCCACCGCCGGAGCCAGCACGAGAATTGCCTCTCCCGCCACCGTTAAATGTTCGTTGACCATTTAATGTGCCTTGCTGGCTGAGGTAGACATATAGTTTCATTTCATGACGGACAATCAAGTGGCCGCTTGTATAAGATCCGCGGCCTGCTAAGTTTGGGTCGTTGTTTGGGTACCCTCCGGAGGCACCAAAGAGCTCAATTCTATAAAGTCCTCGGGACAATGTGACAACATATGGAGTGCACGACTGTGTGTTGCTACTACATGGATATCTGAGAATCTTATAAATATCAGAATCTTCATTAACATTTCTACTCCCTTTTGACTTATCATATAATGATATTTGTATATAATTGGTCATTGTGCATCACATTTATTATATTTAAATAATGTTAAATTGAATCACTCCCATTTAGATGAAAACATCAATAAAAATGAGAATTTTGATATGATAAAATGTATGTTTGTTCATGTTGCTCACTTATATAATCAATTAAAATACATATACCAGAAAAAGTCGCAAATAATGAATCAGATATCAACTCTATTCAATATGCCCTATGGTATATTACCTGCTCCTTAAAAGTATTGTCAAAAAATGAAAATATGCTCTCTTATCAGTGCCCCCAGAACTACACGATGTTCCCCATTCTTATTCTGTTTTCGAATCTTTGACTGACAAGAGTGTCTTTGCACTTCTATTATCAGCAATCTCAGCAAAATAGCCAATATATAAAAATAAACTTCTTGTTTCATGAAGATTGTCTTTAAATTGCAAAAAACAAAACAAAATAATATTATTAAAGAAATGTTACTCTTTTTTGAGGAGTTCTATGCGCTTCTGTAATTTAGCTAACTGAGCAAGCTTTGGCTTCTCTTTTTGAATGAATAATTTCTTTTCTTTGCCCATTTCGAGTTTTAGTTTGGAAATCTCTGTTCCTATTTCTGAAAGATGTTGTTGCTTATAATCAATCTTTCTTTCTAACTTTCTGATTTGTTCTTTGAGATCTGCAGTCTGATCTAGCAATAAACCTTCTTTTGTATACTGTGCAGTTTGTGTTTCATTTTTAATTTTCTTTACTGATTCGGAGAGAGAATGTATTAAGTCTAAAACCTTTTGCGATTCTGAGTTTGAAATCCATTCGGTTGGATATGAAAGATTTTCACGTCCATCTGAGTGTAAATGTGCATTAACAAGTCTCCAAAGTCGTTTAAGTTCTGAGTCACTGAGTATCTTCTCTTTTGGTTCTTGGAGGATATTTGAATCGGCATCTTTAACGACTCCAACAATAGTACAGATAGTTTTACGTTTAACATAGTTCCTTGACTTCTGTGTTGTGACTTGTAAGTCTTCCTGATGAAGCGGCGTTGATGTTCTCCTTGAAATCATTTCTGAAAAAAATATGTACGTTTAGGAAAATTTGAATTCATTCAATTCAAAATCTCTGAGATTTCGCACTGAATAACATTTCACAATACTATGTTTCCAAACTAATTTGGACATTTTCTTGCCGAAAAAAACAATCTTGGCTTAAAAATTAAATTTAAAAAATGGATTCATGGTTTAAGATAGTGATGGCTTGATTTTGATGAGATCATCAAGTCATATTTTTAGTTAAAATTAAAGATGTCAAGAGAATAATTCCTTAATTAGGTTTTCCAGTCTTGACAATGTTGATAAACTCGTCGAATCCTTTTTCAAGGTTTGGAATGACGAAGCATGGTTGTGGGAAGTCTGGTTTCCTCTTAGATCCGGTTTCAACTGCAACTGGAACTGCATTTGCATCTTGAGCAGCTCTAACATCTTGGATAGCGTCACCAATATGGACATGACGATCGAACTTGTAACCTCTTAATTCTTCAGCTTGTTTTCTTGCAAATTTTAAGATGTTTGATCTTTCTTCAATATCGCCAAAGCCGCCGATGCGCTCTTTAAATAATGGGAGAACTCCTGCATGTTCGATCTTCTTCCATGCAATTTTGTCGTAATTTCCAGTAGATAATGAAACAGTAACATTTGGCATGCTATTCAATGTTTCGAGTGTCTTTTTGACTCCTGGTAATGCAACAAATTCACCGCATCCGAGTTTTACGTAATAATCATATTCAAGATCCAAAAACTTGAATAATTCTTCATCACTGATGGATGTCTGTCCTTTAGCCTTCTCAGCAATCATTTTTACAATCCAATAATCTGTTGTTCCGACGTAAGAATGACCAATAAATTTCTCCATGTCGATATCCTTCGGTAATCCATACAATTCATTAGCAGCAAGATTAATTGCTAAGATGTGATTCTTGCCACCATCTGGGCAGTCGATAATTGTTCCATCAATATCAAAAGTTACAAGAACTTTATCACTCATGAATGAAATGATCGAAAAATCGCTTTTGTTTTCAAATAATATGTTTGGTGTCATATAAGTACACACTATATTTTGAATATCTTGACATCAAGAGTGAAATTTGTAAAATCTCTGTAAAAATTGTTTGCCAAAATTAATTTCGCCGAAATATTTAAAGCATACGCAAGCTTATAAAGTTATTTATATGGGTTTTATGTATCGTAAATTCATGTGTCACTTTTGGATAAATTTTTTCGCTCTCTAAAATTTTGAGCGTATTTTCAAAATCAAACCATAATGTGTCACACATATGTTGCTCGTTCATAAATTATTTTTGGAGAGTGTTAATTAGAAAACCCTCGATAGCAGAAGAAATATTCGTTCAAAAATTTGGAAGATAGAACAAAATGTAGTCACTTTCATAGGAGCACTTGATGATGATTCTACTGATTCTTCATCGAAGCAAAATTTCATCAATGAATAAAAATCAAGATTTTAAGGATTTCTCCCGGTGGATCCAAGTGATCATATGATGAAACTTTGAAATATTGTTTACCGTTATTCATCTAAGCTTTTTTCACTTTTTGCATGAAAAAAATATTGAAAAAAATTTGTTTAAATTCTAATATAACAAAGATAGTGTTTAGCATGGTTTCATAAATAACAAATATATACATAATATAATCGCATTAGAACTTTTGAATCTGATCAAAAGTAAAACTTGGCTGTATTGGCTTAGGAACTTTAAGGAATGGTATATCTACTGACTTATGTGGCTTAATTAATAGCTTGGCAGGTTGACGGCGTTTCTTTGCCATCAATAATAATTCCCCGTTATAATGAGTTTTGCTACCGTGCATACTAATTCCTTTTGTAGTAGAATACGATGATATAAGAGTTATAAGCTCTTGAGCTGTTGCTCTTTTAGAAGGATCTTTTGCAAGTGAACGATGCAAAATTGCAGATATGACGGGTGATATAAAATTAGGGAAAAATATCTCTGTATCAATGATTTCATCAATTACTCCTTCATCTGTAGTACTTTTCCATGGGAAGCACCTTGTCACCATAACATAAATAACGATTCCAAAAGCCCATATATCTACAGCTTTTCCATCGAATTCATGCTGGCAGATAATTTCTGGTGCCATGTAGAGTAGTGTTCCGCAATGTGTTTTAAGGTTTTGTTCGCCAAATGCTTCTGAAAGTCCAAAATCTATTAATTTTGCATCTCCATTTTGGTCAATCATAATATTTTCGAGCTTAATATCGCGATGCATTATATCTCTCTGATGTAGATAGTTAATTGCCGATAAAATCTGCATTGCGTATCTACAAATTTCAGATTCACGAATTGTAGGGCCTTGTGTAACCTTCTGAAGCATCTCTCCGCCAGAACAGAATTCCATAATTATCATAATAAGCTTTTCTTGGTAGATTATACGATAGATATCAACAATGGCAGGATGTTTTATATGTTCTAGAATTCTGAGTTCTTCTTCAAGCCTAATAATTAGATTATCCTTTTCCATTTTCTCTCTACTGATTATCTTGCAAGCGAATTTTTCATTCGTCCGTATATTTTCTACAAGAACTACGCAAGCAAACATACCTTTGCCAAGTGTTGTAAGGTAACGATATCCGGAAAAAGTGAGCGGAATTTGTATTGTATATCCTTCGATGTCTTCTTCAATAAACATTTGATCACAATAATTAGTTTATGGTTCAGATCTATTGAATTTTTTATTTAGAATTTATGTTCGATAATTTTAATTTTACTTTGTGTAAGCATAGGTGAGAAAATTACATGGCATAATAAATTTAATTATGAAATATTCTGAGGATTTAAAATTTTAAGATATTATTGAAATGAAAACTCGAGAATTAGAAATAGTATAATAAAAGATAAAATAATATAATAAAAAAGATTTGAAGTATTCTCAATAATTTAACTCATCGAATTGATTAAAAAATGTAATGTTATATCAGATAATGAAATATTGATTTTTGTGTTTAACTGAAAGATTTTTACAAGAAATTGAATACTTTATGACGAATTATAAATCTTTCAAATCTTTCTCGGTTTTTTCCTCATATATGAATATTATTATTAATCGTGCTAAATTAAAGGCATATCGTTAAATTTAAGAGATTTAGCATTTTCAATTTTTTTAATTCATTATACATAATATAGCAATCACTATTCTACAAATTTTACAATCATCAAAATTATAAAAACAAATTAAATTTTAGCCATTTTCATTTACAAATAATTTTGGAATTAATATCTTCCAGATTTGGTTTCAAATTGAGATAGCTTCTCAAACTTTGAATTATGGAAACCGAAATACTTATTGAAAAAATAAGAAATATAATCTATTCAAATTTTTGTATAAATTTTTTTTCATACTTGCAATTTGTTCTAAAATGAATGAAATACGTTCAATAAATATTTTCCCTATAAAGTGTTTCTGAATGATATTTTTCTGCTCTCCATCAAAATACTCGATTTTTCTATTTGAAAAGGCATTTTAATTCTATGATTATCGAATTCCCATCTGTTTAATCGTTCAAATTTTCGTCACAGTCCTCAGTCAAATGAAAAATCTATTAATTATGTACCATTCATTAATATTACTTGACATCCCTTAATTGGAAAAATAACCTCTACAATCCTTCTCAATTTTTTCATTGAAATATTTTTAATGATGGGTTTCCTTATTTAACCGCTTTTATCGTATTTCTATATAAACCAATAATGTTAAATACTTGCAATCATCTATATACTTAATAATATATAATTATTTTCATAGAATTGATTTGGGAAAAATAATCACATATCTGATAATTAGTTACAATCAGAAATTCTAAATGTCTAGTTGCAGTATAAATACAGCCGGTGTTTTAGAGAGAACGATGCTAATTTGAATAATATTGATTCAAATTCCTCACAATATGAATTATCTTATTAAAATAAATCAGCCTATGTATTATATGTAACTGTTGTATAGTTATAATTTTCAATTTACCGTTAACATCAAAATTGCTTCTCAACAAATCTAATAAATCTGTATAGATGATAGGAGACACATTACAAATGCATATAATGGTTCATAAATTCATTAAGTAAAATTGTCATATTCAATTGATTCTCCATGAATCAAATTCTTATTAAATGCTAGGTTGTCAAAATAACAAAATTAGTGTAACATTTATAATACACATCCATAAGAGAATATAATTTCGACTTAATGAAAAAATCACATCATACAAAAAGTACCCAACATCACTTTGATTAGTAAAAATTTTTGACAAAATGGCTGATCAAGATCCATTCAAGCAGGAAATAAGAGAACCATCAGACACAATAACAGACCAGTTGTCACGAACCAAAGTAGATTTCGAATCCAAATCAAACATGCCGGAATTAATAAAAAATTCAATTACTCAAGTAATGTCTAAAGTTGACGAAGTTGACAATTCAGTTATCGACATTATTGGAGCTCAAATGGAGTTCCTTACTGCTGAATTCCAAGATTGTATAAAAGCAACCCAAGATTTATTTACAGCTTTAACGAATTTAAAGGACGGACAGACAGAAATTGTTCGCCGCAAAGCTAGTAATGCTACTAGCCTTGCCAGCAGTATCGAGAAAACAATGACATGTATTCGTAGATTAGGTGATGATAAATAAAAAAATTTTTTTTTTGAAAATTTATTTTTTATCTAATGAACAAGAGAGTGTATGAAATAGCCGGAACGGTAATGCTTATCATTTCGATCATCATGTACTTCATTTATTGGGGTGATGATTTCGTTCTCGAGAAAGGCAGATTCCCATTTGTTTGCAATAAAGCAGAAAATTATACAATATCACACTTCGAAAACTCATATCCACCAAATAAAATTCTCATTATTGGTGGTGTATACAAAAGCGGTAAATCCAGAGCCCTACAAGAACTATCTAAGAGATATTTATCTTTGAAGCAATTACCTGTCGAGATTCATATCTCTCGAGCGAATACATTTGATAACCTCGTCGACCTTGTTAAGAGCGATCTCGTCAGGAACTTCATGACTCTTTCTAAAACACTTCCAAGATCTAAGATGGAAGAGTTCTCCCAAATGAACTGGAAGACACGTGCTTTCAACGAGAAGCATGGTGAACTAGGAAATGGCTTCGCAGGTGCCCAGCTTGCTGCCGAAAATGCCCTTGAAATGCTCCACAACAACAAAACAATCATTGATGGATTGAATGAGCTTCTTGATGTCTTGGAGAGAATTAATGATATTCTCCCAGTCAACATCTTTATCCATAGCGCAGATAAAATAAAAGAGCTTAAAACAAAAGATGGTCAAAATATCGGAAAGGTCATTATGGACTACGCACTCAAATACTTCGAAAACCACTACAAGAAGCACTCTACTATAAGAATTGCATTAGAAGTTATTGATTCCAGAATCATCGCAAAAGTTAAGGATATCAATGGTGTCTTTGTTGTTGTTCTCAAAGAAATCGATAACCCATTACAAACGATGCATTCGCTTGGCATTTTCAGGCACGAAGAAGGAAAACCAATTTATAAGCTCGTTGGAGGCCAAACAGCAGCCCTTTATCATGCATTCATGGAAAAGAAGTATGGTACTAACCCATATACAATCGCAAAGATGCATTTCGATGAAGATTTCGCCGAAGTCAAGAAATTAATGACAAATACATCCAATACAGCATGGTTCGATCTTTGCTTTGGTCCACTCTATAATGCAACTAATATTTCATTCCTTGATTCACTCTTTAAAGAAGGTTACGTTTATTCCGACGAAAATTCAACAACATACGCAGGTTCTGCCGCTGTGAGAGCTGCATTCTGCGCAATTACTCCAAAGAAGTACAAGCCAAAGGAAATTAAAGTCGAGAAACCAAAATCCAAAGGAAAGAAATCTAAATCTCCTTCTCAATCACCATCTCCAAAGCCAACACCCACATCTACGCCAACACCATCTCCTTCTGCTACTCCTGTACAATCTGCAAAGCCTTCTCCTTCTGTTTCTCCACCTAATACTCCATCTCCCTCTCCAACACCAGTTCCTTCTGTTTCTCCTTCGCCATCTCCATCGCCAAAGCCAGAAAAGAAGTCTGGATGGTTCTCAAAGAAGGAAAAACCAACACCAAAACCAAAATCAGCTGAAATCAAAGTAGAAACTAAAGCTGATTCTAAAAAAGTAACTCCAGAGAAAAAGGAAGAAAAGAAAGTTGAAACAAAGTCCGAAGAAAAGAAAACATTAGAAAAACCAAAAGATTCTAAGAAACAAGATCAAGCAAAACCAGAAACAACTCAGCCAATCAAAGTAGAGGACAAAAGTTCCAAAGTTGATGAGAAGAAATCCAAAGAAGAAGCGAAAAAGATGAAATCATCTGAAAAGAAAGAATCTAAAGGATGGTTCTCCAAGAAAGAGAAACAAACACCAACTCCTTCTCCATCTAAATCTCCAGTTCCTTCTCCTTCTATTTCTCCTTCTCCAAAACCAGAAAAGAAAGAAAAAGCAACTCCATCTCCATCAGCTTCACCTAAACCAGCAAAGAAATCTGGATGGTTCTCAAAGAAATAAGAAATCATACATATACAACTATTGATTTAAAGTTTATGTTATTAGAATTAAAAAAAATCTAAAATATTTAAGGGTCCACTGTAAAAATTGAAAGTCTCTCAAAATTGAGAGGCGATTTGCAAATAATCGTTATCGTCATTTTTCGAAAATCCACTTTTCCTAGTGTTCTGATTAATATTATGTGAATACAACAATGAAGCATATGTTTCAATAAGATGGTAATATATTCTATCACTTCAAATCTCATAAAAATTGCAAAATCAGTGAGTTTTATAAGAACATGATTTTTTCGAATTTTTTCGCTTTTGGATGCGTGTTTTGAAAAATAGATATTTTCGAATTTTAATTTTATCTTAAGTATAAGTTTTATATTAGGAATTTTTTTGACCTATTTCCAATCATTAATTCCAATGTTTTTCAAGGAATTTAATTGAGAAGAAATTAGGAATTTCGCTTTAATGCCATTACAAACTAATATTATGATGCATAATATATATATTTATTGAGGCTAATGCCGGGATATCTTGCATTTAAAAAAAATTCAAAGAATTGACAATTGGATAGCACAAATTTAATTCCCTGGACAAAGTATTATTGTTTATATATTCAAACCATTATCCTTAGTTTAGATATGTTGGCCAAAAATTTTCGTGTTATTTTTTGTGTTTAAGCATAAATTATGTATTTACTTATGAAAAATAAGCATTTTATTCATTATCATAAAGATATACCATAACAATTGATAAAATTTTTTAAAAAAAATTGTGTATTTTAGTGGGTATTATTCTGGATAATGCCAATTTTTACAAGATTTAATATTAACCATATCAATAGCCGACTCAATGTAAAAATTTAGATATTATTTTTTTCATTATTCAAACTTTGATAAATTTTAGTATAATGAATGATTTTGTTTCGTGTATGATACAGAAATGAAAAGCTTAATTAATATCATTTTGCATTTTTTAAAGAATGTTAGAGTACATCTACATTAAAAAATCAGATTCGAACTGCGATACTGCATCAAATTGATGCATATCTGATAAGGATCTCAAAAGAGTAAAGTTAATTTTTTTGTGTTTTTTTAAGTTTTGGGCCTTAGTAAAACACCATCTCGAGCAATATTTTTGGGACGACGATAGACCTTATTTGGCCTTACAGTGGACCCTTAATATAAAAAAAATAAAAAGAATTACCCAGATTTTCCTTACTTTTACCACCCCTCTAAAGCTGGGGACACCGCCTATCGTTGGGAGTAGCTATTAAATAGAACCACCAAGGGTATTTTTCGAACTGCCGGTTTAGTGTAGTGTAAACATCCGACATAATGATTCATTATGCCAAGGTTTGATTCCCATTTAGCCAATTTTTTTCTTTTTTGGATCATGAATTTTTTTTTGGGTCACTATAAGATTTGTTTCATGTTCTAAATCTGCTGCATATGTAATCTATTTTTATTTACCTATTTTTTAAAAATCTATTGGATTGCCAAATTTGAATATATTTAAAATCATAAAACTCCAAAAAAACTATAAATATATGTTTTATGCATAGTGCCGATACTCAAATATCAGATTACTTAGATCCATGAATAATATCCGAATTTTTTTTCTTAAAATTAAACTTCAAAACTTCTTGCAATCTTATTCTTCATCAATTGTAAATTTTTAAAACCATTTTTTAAAATAATTTTGCGTAAATTTTATTCTCATGTTGTTTTAATCGAAAATTGATACATTTTCAAAAAAATAATATTGACTTATGAAATTCATTTTTAAGGTGAAATAGTATTGTTTTTATTAAAGTATATGAATAATATATAAAAAATTAATGAATAATATAAGCAGATTTTTAGTTTACAAAACAAATATGAGCAATGCAATTTCAAACTTTTGCTGGCAATTTCGATATTGCTCAAGTTTGTAGTATTTGTGATACCTATAACATCGGCTTAATCAAAATTCGATTTTTCTTATGAGTTATTGAGAAAATTTGATTGCAATGAGAAGGATTTCGACGTTTTTGATAAACTAAGAGCTGAGCTTTAGGGGTTCAGTTCATTTATGGCTGTAGTTTGATGCGTAGATCTCTTTTTTATTGTAAATTCTTTCAGCATGGAGATCGAGAATGAATCTTTTGAGAACTTTATGAGTTTTTACACCCGTAAAGAGGTCCTTAGAGGAAAGATAGTCCAGACTACATGAAGATGTGGGTTAACCAAAAAAATCCGATGGTTTCCCCATATTCATGTAGATCTTCGAAAAAATGAGCACCAAAAAAGCCAAAAAATAGGCTTTTTATTGGATTTGTACACTAGATCAATAACCTATTTAGGATCTGACACTCTTTTTAGCCAGAGATATGAGGTCCTTTCTAGGAAAACGATCTATTCATCCATAAAAAAAATGAATTATCGTTTTCCCCAGAAATTACATGGGGAGTGGTAAAAGTAAGGAAAATCTGGGTATATAAGAATAAATAAAGAATGTTGTTCAATCATTTGGATATCCAAAGATTGAAGAGTTGATCTTTGATTGGTTTCGATCACAATTGAAATACTATAGTTATTTAAGCATTTGACATTTGCTTGAATATAATCATATATGTTCCAAGAATGATATTGTGATTAAATCATTGTTAACTGTAAAATTCTCGCTTGATTGAATAAACAAATAACTCTTTTACTTCAGAGAAAAATCAATGTTGCATTCAAATAATTGATTATTATCTTTCAGCATTGGTTGCAAAAGATCAAATTAGTAATTTTTTAACATTTTTTCTAGTCGTGAAGCCTGTTAGAAATGCAATAACAGTGTAATTATTTTAGATTCTAATACCGAACAGCATTTGAATCACAAATATTGATTCTTTTATCTATATGCATTATTTTATGTGCAAATAAACTTTGTTAATTATGATGGAGGAAAAGTGACAATTTACGCAATTTATGGAAACAAAAAATGAATAAAGAAGTTTATTATGAACTCATGGCAATATGTTATGATTATAACGATATAATGAATTCATTGTACAAACTTAATACAACAAATGAAGATGAACTTAACAAAATTTGCCAAGATATCAAAAGTAAATTAATTGAAACCAAAATATTAGATTCATCTGATGTTCTTGATATAATAACAACTGCATCAGAATGCAATTGTCGTTACTTTAAATCATATTGGACATTATTCAAAAAGATTTACAAAAATTCAACAAGAGAAGTTCTACCTGGTTCAACTGTTTTCAGTTACTTTCTCAACAAAGAGTTTGGAGTCGATCTCAATTTTATAGACATGGATAGAATCAAAGAATATAATATTCAAAACAGTTCTATTGAAGTTCATGAAGAAAACACGATTTACAGAGCAATAATGGATGATGATGTAAAATCATTTATACAGTTCACAGAAAAGGATGGATTCAATAAAAACCAAGAACTTCAAAGTGGTTTCTATCCAATTCCATATTATAAACATTCTTTACTCGAACTATGTTGTTATCATGGTTCAATCAATTGTTTCAATGTTTTAAGAACAAAATTTCAAACAAAAATCAGTTATTATTGTCTCCTTTTTTCATTTCTTGGAAAGAACCTAGAGATTATAAAAGAATGTTTGAAAGTAATAAAGCCAGACAAACAATCCATGGAATATGCAATTATGTCACACAGCATCGAATTTGTTATATTTTTGATGGATGAATACAAATTAAATATTGATTTAGAAGCATGTGGAAAATATAATAATATTCAAGCACTTCTAACATATATCGATCGAACTAATGACATCAACAATGCTTTCTTTTATTCATTTGATTTTAATTTGCTTTCCCTTTGGGAATATTTGTTATCACATGGAGCAAATATAGATTCAAGAGATAAAGATGGAGAAACAGTTTTATTTCGGCAGATAGAAAATGATAATACAAAGACGGTAAAATTCCTTCTTTCTCATGGCGCAGATTGTAATGCAAAAGATAAATCAGGTGAATCGTCGCCAATTCATTTAGCAGTTTCAGGTAAAAATACAAAAATCGCAAAAATCCGTATTTCTTATGGAGCAGATCTTTATTTTAAAGATAGCAAAGGAAGAACACCTCTCCACTCTGCAATAATCAATAAAAATTATGAAATTGTTGAACTAATTATTAACTCTGGTATAAATATCAATGCACAAGATGACTTTAGTGATACCGCTCTTGATTGGGCTGTCTTCTCAGGATCAAAAAAGTTAATAAAGCTTTTAATATCTCATGGAGCAGATGTCAATTCAAGAAATAAAGAAGGTAAATCAATTCTTCATTATTCTGCATCATATTCAAATGTCAAAATAAATGAAATTCTGATTTCAAATGGAGCATATGTCAATGCAAAAGATAACAATGGAGAAAGTGTTCTTCATTGTGCTGCACAACAAAGTTTACCAGAAGTTATTGAATTTCTTATTTCACATGGTGCAGATATCAAAGCTAAAGATTGTTTTGATAGAACACCTCTTCATTACGCAGCAAAAAGAGGCCGTTCAAAAAATGCAAGAATTCTTATTTCCCATGGTATAGATATCAATGAAAAAGATATTAATGGTAGAACAGCTCTTCATCAGGCGTCTGATAACGATCATGTGGAAGTTGCAGAAATTCTTATCCTAAACGGTGCAGATATTAATTCACAGGACAATAGTGGTGATACACCTCTTCATCGTGCTGCATACATGAATTGTAGCAAAGTTGCTGATCTATTAATTTCACACGGTGCTGATATTAATTCAAAAGATTATAGTGGGAATACACCTCTTCATTATGCGCCTTCATTATTTGATACAGAGATTATGGAATCGCTTTTATCACATGGTGCAGACATTAACTCAATAAACCATCACGGAGACACACCACTTCATTTTGCTGCTTCTAATGATAGATTAAAAGCAATTGAATTTTTAATTTCACATGGTGCAAATATCAATTCAAGAAACTGTGAACGTCAAACAGCATTAAATATTGCATCATCAAAAAACAGCAATGAAATTGTTGAATTTCTTCTTTCTCATGGTGCAGAAAATGATTAGAAAAGCCTTTCATAATTATACAATGCAAGTTTTCTAATGAATCAAATTTCATAATTTATGCTTGATTAAAAATATTCTCTTTCTAATGTTTCACAGAATATACTCATTATTCATATCATGTAAGAAAATATTTACTTCAAACACGGAACTTTTCGAACACATTTTTAAAAGTGATTGAGCTTTATGGTGAATGAGAACGGTAGAAATATCATCTTAATTTTCGTCCTCATCTCCAAGCAGACTAGCTGAATGATTGGCTTTCCGCTCAATGATTCAAGTACGTCTTCATATGGGTTATGTGTTGCATCTTGAAGTTGTAGAGTGGCCTTGACGCGAATCCGAATGTGGTAGATCGAAAAAGACAATGTAGTCCTGCATGCGAGCAGCTTCAACTGAATTCTTAGGTGGAGAGATAGTTTTCATCAAAAACAGTTTTCAAAGGTCATAACACGTTGAGTCTTGCTTTATTTCTATACAACATTGGTCTATTCTCTTGTATTTTAATAAAATTGGATTGAATAATTTCGAAATTTTCAATTCAGTTTGCGGTAATAAGTTATTTGGTTGCTGTAGATGGATGCAAATCTTTCTATGTAATTCCAAATTTTCTTCGATCTCGAGAAAAATAATGAAAATATCTAATTATTTCGCGACAAAAAATTGAAATAACATTTTTTAATTGGAATTTTTTTTAAATCAGCTTTTACGGCAAAAATATTTATTATCTAGGTATTTTATAACTACATGAACACTCTATTTTATAGATATATTTGATTTTTCCTATATAAATATCAAATAACGATATAGAAAATAATCTTAATTTTAGAGTTTCAATATTTTTTAGATCTAGATGGAAAATTTGTGCTACATGTATCATTTATATTTGAGCAGTAGGTGGGTCAGTACAGTTTTCAATAGAATAGTGACTCATGAACGGTGTTTCGGAATCAAATTATTATTGGCACTTTTCAATGAAAGTAAGAGAAAAAAGAAAAAAACGAATAGCAGTTGTTTATTATTTAGTTGCATCTGCGATAGTTATGGAGATAATCCGACACATTGTTCCATTTCCTCCAACAAAAATTTCGAAATACGATCCACAAATTTTAATATCTATCAATTGCAACAACCCAAACTGTGAACGAGCATATTACTCATACAATAAATGGGGTAGAAACTTCATGAAACTATATCCGAAATCAAAAGTAATGCTAACTTCAATAAATAACACTATCGATCCAAGAATCGTTATATTATCGCAAGAACACAATGAAACAATCAAGCACCGACAGATGTATCACAACAATTTTGCACTTTACAAATATTTTCTAAAAACTAGATATAATTATGTGTACAGATGTACAGAAGACGTTTATGTAGATGCAGAAAACTTAGCATACGAGATTTTTAAGTTAGATTTGAAACACCAAAATTTTATGATAACTGGTCAATACTGTACGCCTGAATTGATAAATACATCTGTTGGATTCATCCATGGAGGTTCCGGATGGATACTGAATAGATTTACAGCTCGTTTTTGGGTTGAGAAAAAAAGATATTTTGACGATTTCTTTAGTTTTCATGATAAAGTTGGAGATGACGTTACCACAGAAGAGTTTATATCATTGATGAAGCTCAATTTTGAAGATGTCCTTTTGAAATCTTTTATTGGTTGGCCACTTTTCTACGAAGATATAGATCAACTGAAAAATAAGAATTGGTCTGCCTTTGGCAAGTGTCCTCCTCCACTAAACAAATTCAAAACACCTGTAAGAGTTAAGCAGATTGCTGCTTGGCACTCAGGATTAGATGAAACATATGTATTTCATCATGGTGATGAGATAATTAGAAATGCTCCAGATAATTTAATGATACAGGCATATGATAGTCATTCTATCCTTTGTTATTTATAAACTTGTTTGTATTTTTTATGAATTTTAGAATTTTTTTACATTTTCATATGTTATTTGTTTATAATTCACTATGAATTTCTGAAACATATTGTTTCGACAACTTCATTAATATTTTAAAGCGTTATGGAATTCAATATTCATCGATTACAGAAATTTCAAGTACATCATTTAACGATGATAAGATTTCTCATATCAGGTACTTACGAAATATGAGGCATGACCATTATTTAGAAGTTTTTTTTAGGGTGTACTTACGCCCCTATGACATGGCTTTCAATTCAGATGTTTAAGGTTAATTTTTAATGTCCCTTCACGCCAGTTGTCAAAAATTTGAATTAAAGTCAGATGGACCTTAAAAATAGAATTGAAAATAAATTGGATATTTATTAACTTAAACTGCTTTTAGAATGCTGAATATTGAAGAGTGTTTAATTTTCCAATATTATCTTTTTAAAATCATATCATCTAACGTTGGAACATTAGTTTTCTGCACCATATGATTTAAGAAGTTCGGCTGTTAATATATTTTGACGCCATATTGCAATATGAAGAGCGGTTTCTCCATTGTTATTTTTTTCAATGATATTTATACCATGTGAAATAAGAAGTTCAACTGTTTTTTTATTTTTATTAAATGCTGCAAAATGAAGAGGAGTTTCTCCTTTTTTATTTTTTTTTTTCATTAATATTAATGCCATGTGAAATAAGAAGTTCGGCTGTTTCTTTACTATCAAAATTTGCTGCTCTATGAAGAGCGGTTTCTCCATCATTATTTTTTTCATTGATATTAATACCGTGTGAAATAAGAAATTCGGCTGTTTTTTTACTATTACGATGTGCTGCATCATGAAGAGCGATTTGTCCATATTTATCTTTTTCATTGATATTTGCACCATGTGAAATAAGAAATTCGACTGTTTCTTTCTTATTACTAAATATTGCTTTATGAAGAGCGTTTGTTCCATCTTTATATTTTTCATTGATATTTGCACCATGTGAAATAAGAAGTTCAACTGTTTTTTTATTTTTATTAAATGCTGCAAAATGAAGAGGAGTTTCTCCTTTTTTATTTTTTTTTTTCATTAATATTAATGCCATGTGAAATAAGAAGTTCGGCTGTTTCTTTACTATCAAAATTTGCTGCTCTATGAAGAGCGGTTTCTCCATCATTATTTTTTTCATTGATGTTAATACCATGTGAAATAAGAAATTCGGCTGTTTTTTTACTATTATGACTTGCTGCATCGTGAAGAGCGGTTTCTCCATCTTTATCTTTTTCATTGATATTTGCATAATGTGATATAAGAAATTCGGCTGTTTCTTTACTATTATAACGTGCTGCAATATGAAGAGCGGTTTTTCCATTTAAAAGTTTTTTATTGATATCTACACCTAATGAAAGGAAATATTCGCATAGGGATGGAATATTAAACATCGGTGAAAAAACCAAGCAGCTGACTAAAAGATTAGTTTGATCGTAAAAAACTAAAAATGAATCAAGATTATTATATTTTCCGCAAGCGTGCAAGTCGATACTTATGATATACTCATTCACTAAGAATGTTACAAAATCAATGTTATGTGAAATAATTGCATATTTCATGCATTCTTTATCTGGTTCATAATGTTTCAAACATTCACTCATTATCTCATGATTTCTTCCCAAAAATGAAAATGTTAGACATCTTTTTGTTATTTCTGAGTTAAATTTAGTTCTTAAGAACTTGAAACAATCAACTGCTCCATGGTAACAACATAATTCAAGTAATGAAAATCCTTCTTCAGAACATGGGTATAAACTACTTTGAAGTTTTTGATTTTCAGCAAATCCTTCTCTTTCAGTGAATGAAATGAATACTTCTAAGTCATTATTCATAATTGCTTTGTAAATTGTATTTTCTTTAAGAATGTCGAGATTTTCTGATTTAATAATTTCGAAATTAACAGACTTGTCTAATTCAATGCCATATTCTTTGTAAAACAAAAAGTTTGAAACAAGTTCAACATTGCCGATCTCTTTGATTTGATAATCATCTGATACGAGTTTGGCAAGATATAAATATGACTTTGTATAGCGATTATTATACGGAATGATATCCAAAATATCTTTTGTTATAATTTGGGGAAGGCATTTCTTTGAATCAATCAAATTCGTTTTGATCATTTTGTAAATCGAGTTTAAATCTTCTTCTTTTTCCGTTTTCAGCTGATATAACGCATCATATGAATCAATGTAATACTTGTAGACACTTCGCAGTTTACTGTATTTGCTCTGATTACTGTCTTGATCAGACATTAAAAAATTTAAGAAGTAAAATATTACGAAAGAGATCAATTAAAATGCGGTACACTATTTTCTTGCGGTATAATTGCTTTTCAGAGTCAAAAGATCCGAAATAATCAGATCATATTTTACCAAAATAAAAATTGAATGTGTAGAGCGGTTTTCAATTTTTAATCTATTTTGAGAAACATATTAATAATTGTGAGCTGTACAAAATATTTCCCAAATATTTGTATTTATGAAATTTTTCCCATTTTTATGAGAGAAAATAAAAAAAAGGGGACTTATTTTTTAGACCAAAAAAGTGGAACCTGAGTATATTGTTTCTGCTTTATTTGATCATTGAAACGGAATTGATCCACGTTATTAGTATGAAACAATGATATACTAGGGACTAAAGAATATTAATATTACAAAAACTCAATTATTCAATGTTCAACTCATCATATCTTGCATTAAAGTTGATACATTTATTTTTTCGAAATATTACAACAGTAGCAACCCTACGTATTATCAATGATAGCCAAAGTACTATTTTGGTATAAAAAATTTGAAACGATATTGAAACAACAGATTGACTGGTCACTCTGGTATAGTATTATGCATACTATCAGGTGATAAAATCTCAAATATCTTAACTTAACTTCCGTTTGATTATGAGATACAGATCTAATGTTGCTTGTTTTGTAACCATAATCACTAACTGATAACATTATTATGATAAGAAGACTAAATGTGCGAGTTTAATATACATTTGATTCAGATTTATTATCGAAAATCGAATCACAATATATATATACCTTGAACTCATTTGTAAATAAAATCATGATATTATTGATTGTTTTCTAGATGTTTACAATGGTTTCTAAACATGTGAAGATAATCCTTAATTTGAACCAGAAATAATTTTAAATTACTAACCATGGATGGTTATCTATATAGAACAATATATTATTTTTGATAGTAAACTATGACTGATTTATAATTTTGGAATATATACTTCTTTTCTATATCTTTGAAATATAGATATTTGATTTTGCTGTATAATCGACATAATTTAGTAGAAATATTATAGAATAACAAAAATAAAAGGGTTTAATCGATTTGTAACACAACGAAAATGGTTCATTTCTCTCTAAATTATAAATTTTCAAAAAAATTAATCTCATTTTTCCAAAAAAAAATCGAGAATTGAAAAAAAACGTTATCATTTTCTAGAAAATTGCTTAGTCTTTTTCTAATGTGGAAAAAATTTGGAGAAATTCACCAAGGAGAACTTCATTCTAGGTGTCCAAAGCAATTGCAATCAGTCAAAAAAACCTCGAAAATTTTAAATGTTGATATCGATTTTCATCAATCACTTAAAATCGATTGTTTTTAGTCGATGTTATCACATTTCATTAATTCTAATATACTTGAACATACTACAAATCGTTTTTAAACTTATCAACATTTCGCGCAATTTAACAATACTCCAACTCTCATACACAGTTCCCATTACCACAGTCTCATTTTAAGAAGAAATGATTAATAAAATCTAAGATCTAACGATTTATTTACCCAATTCGAATAATATTTTTAATTATAAATCCTTATTTTTGCATATTTTATATACAGATGTAGTAAGAAAAACGAATAAAGCGTTACTTCAAAAAAAAATACCTGAAAGCCCGCTAATCAATAAACAATTTACTTTTTTAGCATCGAATTTTGCTCGTCTTGAGCCATATTTTTCGTTTAATTTTCATAGTACGATAAAACATCTGCGTTATCAAGTAAAATATGGATATTTTAGAAGATCATATAATATATCTCGAAATCAAACGAAAGCCATTCTATGAGTCCATACACACTATTACTATACTTCATATGTCAAGCATAATGGGAACAATTTGGGTCGATACCTTTGTTGTCGACGAATTTCCCCCCTTTTAGAAAATGTTCATTTTAATAAACCCAATTTATATTATATTAGATAATGATTGGTCCTTTTTCTTATTCTTGGCAATGAGAAGAAAAAAAAGTTTCTCATGGTCGGTCCTTTTTCTTATGCCACGTTGCCAACGCTTCCATCTTAAGCGCCTCACAGCTCCACACCACTGGCTTCTTGCTAAGTCCGCGGGTAAGTTCGCTTCCCACCCATCCACAGGTCCACACAAACTTCGTGAATGCCTTCCAATCAACATCTTCCTTCGTGATCGCCTTAAATACGCTCTTACAGCTAAGGAAGCCGTCGCTATTGTCAAGCGCCGCCTCGTCAAGGTCGATGGCAAGGTCCGCACAAACTATCGTTATCCAACAGGTTTGATGGATGTCATCGAACTCGGCAAATCCAACGAACTCTTCCGTATCATCTACGACTGCAAGGGCCGTTTCTGCGTCCACCACATCGAAGCTAAGGAAGCCTCCTTCAAGCTTCTTCGTGTCAACCAGTTCAAGATTGGTGCCAAGGGTATCCCACACGTTGTTACACACGATGGCCGTACAATCTCCTATGTTGATCCATCCGTCCGTGTCCATGATGCTCTCAAGTTCAACATCAAGACAGGCGAAGTCGAATCCGTCATCAAGTTCAAGGTTGGCGATGTTGCCATGGTTACAGCTGGTGGTAACGTCGGCCGTGTCGGAACAATCCAGAAGATCGAGAAGCAGATGGCTTCCTTCGATATCGTTCACCTTAAGGATACATCTGGCGCTGTCTTCGCCACACGTATCATGAACGTTTTCGTCATCGGTGAGAACGAGCACCCACTCATCAGCCTTCCAGCTCGTGAGGGTGTCCGCCCATCAATCCTTGAGGGAATCAACCAGGAATAAACATTACGCAGGCCATATAAAGCTTGATTTCAAACATACTTTACTTACAACTACTAATTTATTTCGAATTTTTTACTCTTATTTCTCTATAAATTTACAATTTTAACGATATTATTCATTTTAAACAATAGACTCATAATGCACTACTCATGTATACTCTATTGCGCTTTGTATTGTACGAAGATTCGAGCGACCCAATTACATTCATTTACAATATTATCAAGGTTAGCTTGCAGAATTGAGAAGATAAATGTAATTTCGATTGCTTTCATCCAATCCACTTAGTGAATCTTACTTTTTCATGGTTGGTTTCTTCTCTAATATCGTAAAAAGTGCTTTATATTGAGAAAGGAAGTGTAGTTATTAATGCACTTGTATCACAGAAGCTACAACTCGAACTTTTAATTTTAAATCCGCAGACTTCCTTCAATCTAACCGCCATCATCAAAAAATCGGAAAAAATAAATACCTGGCATGTAAATAATATTGGAATAATTGATCCCCAATTTTGAAGGAGCTTACGTAAAATTTGAATAGATTACATTTTGGGTCAATCCATTTTTTATTAATAAAAATGCTCCCTCTCTTCCTTGGAAGCGGCGCTTCATGGTGGGGACACGCACACATGATGATTGGCCGTATAGCAGAGTCATTGCTTACTTCCAAAGAGAAAAAGAAGATTGAAGCCGTTCTTAGATACGGACAACACCCAATACAGACAATTACTGAAGCAACAACATGGCAAGATGACCTCAAAGGCACATACAGCCTCAGTGTAATGGAAACTTGGCACTTCTTAGACCACCCAATCAACAAAGGAAAAAATACTTCCATTCCACCTCCAACCTACAACATTACTACTTACATGGATTCGGCTTACAGGGCTCTCAAAGATAAGACAACAACAGATCCATGGGTTTGGGCCTTCCATCTCAGAAGTTTAATCCATTTTGTTGGAGATGTACACACACCACACCACAATGTCGCCTTATTTAATGACTTGTTCCCAACGGGCGATCACGGTGGCAATCTTTACATATTAAACTGCAATCTTGGTTCAGGTTGCAATAATATTCACTTCTTGTGGGATTCTGCTGGCTTCTACTTCCCAATGCGTAATCCAGTCATTCCTAAGTATCGTGATGAGTTCCAAAAGAACGCTACTAAGTTAATCAACGAATTACCTCAAAGCCACTACACATCTCAGAATATGGATGTTAAAACATTCCATCCAGAGGTATGGCATAATGAATCTTACGAAGTTGCTTATAATTTTGGTTATAATACAACAATGTACGGTTGGCCTTCAAAAGATTACTTCACAACAGTACAGACACAGAGCAAGGAACGCATTGCTATCAGTGGATACCGTTTGGGATACTTCCTTAAAGAAGTTGTCGGAAATATTCCAGTTGAACCGACATCTAACACTCGTGAGATCGTTGTTTGGGTCGTTGATGTCGTACTAATTGTTCTTGCATTGATATTCGTCATTTTGGCGAAGAAGAAAGATGTTAAATACGCTCTCTTTTAATCGACCAAAAAAACATAACTTTAGTTCAGTCAAAAAGTAAAACTCTCTATATCTATATATAAATTCATAAGATTTTTTATTGTAATGCATAATTTTTCAAAATATTTTATAAATTATTTTCAAAATAGAATTTTAGTGATATAATATATGAGTGTCTAGTCTATAAAGTGAAAAATGACAATATGTTAAACCTTTAACTTTTATATTTGAGATTCTCTATTTGATTAATTAAAATTTTTCTCATCTCTCTTTGCTTTAATACTAACCTCAACAGAAATAAGATATCCAACACCTTCAAGTTGATTAATCTTTGATGCCATATTGAGAGGAGTATTTCCATTTTTATTCTATTTATCCCATTTAGGTACTCTCCAATGTGCTTACCAGAGAATAAATCACATGGAATTTAAATACTGCTAATGAAAAAGTTTATTATAACTTGTGGGATTATGTAAGAGGCAAGAACTGCCATATACACAATATGCTGCTGTCAATTAAGCATTAAAAATGATGTAAACATTTAAATTCACTCAAATTTTGAGAAAGAGATTATATAAAAACTTTTTTCATGTTAAGTATTTGCTTAAATTCATTTGAGTAGCCTAAGACTGATAAATCATTAAGGCTGCTTAGAGTGTCTTGTGATTGTAAATCATGTTATGACTTTGCTACACTTACTAAAAATCTAAAGAAAAATCTAAAGAAAAAAAAGTTTAGAATTTGCACAAATAAAATGATATTGAATAGTTGTATTTTCAGGGGAGCAGCAAAAATTAAGAAGTACATGGAATGCAAATACTATGGTTATCAATTATTACAAGAGCCAAGGTAAAATATTACTATCCAAGCAATAAAGCTTATTATTGCCCATGCAGAAAATTATGACAAATATTCCAATTTGCGCCATAAACTATCTCTTGGTTTCGCTCTACGGAATAGACTAGTTGCATCAGGAAAATTTTCATTGTATTTATAACGATACTCTTCCTTATCTAATGAAATCATTTTTTTAACTGTAATTTCCTTATAAGAATCAATTTGCCTATAGAAAAAATATTGATAAAGTACTTCCAAATTCAATATTTTTAAGAATAAATATAAATATAGACCAGATTCGCTTGTCAAAAAATTGATTAATTTGGAATTTCCATTGTTAAAGCAAAACAAGAGTGTGTCAGGGTCGTCATATAAAATTTCTAGAAAATTTCTTAATTTATGAGATTCGTCGTAAACCGCCTCTAAAAAGTCATCGAAACCTTGTTGCGCCTCTTCATTAAAAACATATTCTTCTTTTATTAGAAAAACAACTGTTTCATTTTCATTTTTTTTAATTTTTGAAAGTTGGTATTCATATGATCCATACTTAAAATTGTACCTTGCAACAGTTGTAGGAGAACTATGATCGTCATAGTCATATTCCATCACCCTTGTATAATAAGAAATCACTGGTTGCTGTTCCAGGAATGATTTCAAATATGCTTTATTATTTATATTGCGTAACATCATGTAGAAAGACGGTGAAAACAAATTAAACCATTTATCTAACAAGCCAAGCATTAGAAAAGACAATACAAAAGTTATACATAGAAAGAAATAGGACAGCATTGTGAATTACTGGAAATTTAATATATCTGCCAACAAAAGAGTGTCAAAATTTTATGATTTTTTGAATTTGAGCGACCAAAATAGTAATAAATAAAATATCCATTTAATGATATCAGGAATGAATCTATATGTTAAATATCGATTTTTTGATGGAAATCATACAATTAATTATATGAGTTTCTCTCAAAAAGTCGATTTCTGTCAGATCAGTCTTTTGGACCGTGAAAACTTTATTCGTTTATTCATCAAAACAGCAATAGAAAAAAAAAAAAAAAAAAAAAGGTAGTGGGGCTTCCAGGCACTTCGTGCCCTCTAGCCCTGAAGATGTTTAGTATAAATGAAGTTTTTATTCGGAAAATTGTTAGTCTTCTTGGTCGAAAACATTATATAATGTTTCACTTTTCACAAATTATATATGTTTTCATGTTTTGTCAAGACTTCTTCTTCGTAAATGTTTTGTCAAGACTTCTTCGTAAATGTTTTGTCAAGACTTCTTCGTAAATGTTTTGTCAAGACTTCTTCGTAAATGTTTTGTCAAGACTTCTTCGTAAATGTTTTGTCAAGACTTCTTCGTAAATGTTTTGTCAAGACTTCTTCGTAAATGTTTTGTCAAGACTTCTTCGTAAATGTTTTGTCAAGACTTCTTCGTAATGAGTGTAAATGACCAAAAATAATGTTTAGGTGAAGAGGTGAGATGTCACCTGTTTTCTCACCTCATTTCTCACCCGTTGAATTTTCATGAAATTTACACCAAAAATAATGTTTAGGTGAAGAGGTGAGATGTCACCTGTTTTCTCACCTCATTTCTCACCCGTTGAATTTTCATGAAATTTACACAGAATTCAATAAAAATAATGTTTAGGTGAAGAGGTGAGATGTCACCTGTTTTCTCACCTAATTTTTCACCCGTTGAATTTTCATGAAATTTACACCAAAAATATACTACTAGGAAGAAATCTAACAAATTTACGAAGAAAGTCTTAACAAAGTCTTTACGAAGAAGTCTTAACAAAGTCTTTACGAAGAAGTCTTAACAAAGTCTTTACGAAGAAGTCTTGACAAAACATTTACGAAGAAGTCTTAACAAAGTCTTTACGAAGAAGTCTTAACAAAGTCTTTACGAAGAAGTCTTAACAAAGTCTTTACGAAGAAATTCATGAAAATTCAAGAGGTGAGAAATGAGGTGAGAAAACAGGTGACATCTCACCTCTTCACCTAAACATTATTTTTGGTCATTTACGAAGAAGTCTTAACAAAGTCTTTACGAAGAAGTCTTGACAAAGTCTTTACGAAGAAGTCTTAACAAAGAAGTCTTGACAAAGTCTTTACGAAGAAGTCTTAACAAAGTCTTTACGAAGAAATTCATGAAAATTCAACGGGTGAGAAATGAGGTGAGAAAACAGGTGACATCTCACCTCATATGTCCTTACTGAAAAAGTATGTGTTCCATCTGTCAAAAGCCGCTTTTTAACTTCACTTAAAATGCCACGTAAGCTACGTAAGAATATACGTAAGAGGAAGAGAGCATTGAAACATCCAATAGTAAAACTGACACCACAACAACAGTTGCAACAACAAATTATGAATGACCCCACTATGTTGCAACAAATGTCAAGCAATCCTATGCTTTTAAACCGAGTTGTTGGTGCACAAAGTGGAGGTTTAAGAGCGGCACTTTTAGCGAAAATGGCAGGCTATGGTGGAGCTGCAGACGGAACAGCATATAACCCTCAAAGTCAAATGAATTTGAGTTCACTCAAAAATCAAATAACAGATGTCAAAAAGTCAAACATAGACATACAGAAACAAATAGGTGAAAACGAAAAGAACTAGAATATGACAGACACACAAAGAACTCAATGAGTTAAACGTAGAGAAAAAGAAGAAAGAAGAACAACTGAAAGAACTAAGTACAGAGCAATATGCGAAAAAAGTGTCAGAAAAAGCAGCAGAAGTAGCAAAAATGGAACAAGATGTCATAAATTTGAAAAACCATACTACTCAATATAAAATACTGAAAGATGAAGAGATAAAACAAAAGCCCTGAAGACATATATGGATAGCGATGAGTATAAAAAGAAGTTGAAGCAAATGTAAAGGCAGAAAAACTTTTACAGTTGCAAAACCAAACCGTACAGTATGAAAACTTAGCACAAGAAAGTAAAAATAACGACGCGGCTATGCAAAAGGCAATGAAAGCGCAGAATATATAAAAGCTAATAATGACTGGTTAGATGCCCAAGCCAACGCTAAAGCAGCCCAACTCATAGGGTCAATAAGGACAAAAATACAAGCGGATGAAGACAGTTCAAATGAAGCTTTAACAAATGCTGACTTTAAGAACGCCTTCGAAGCTCTTCATAGTAAGGTGAAACAAGTGAACGACTTCTCATCTGGAAAGAAACTGAAGTCTGAAGGTTTCGACAAAGAGTTAAAAGAAGTAGCACAAAAATGACGAAAATAACAGATGCAGCAACGAGACAGGCAGTTCAAAGTGCCTATGACGCCGTTAGAGCAACTGTTGTGGAAAGTCAAGAAAAAGAGTTACAACAGACCAAAACAGACCTAGTAAATGCTTTCTTAAAAACGAAAAGTCAGGTAGGACATTATGCTGCAGATGGAACATATGTGCCAGCTGGTGGAACTTATATACCACCAAACCCTCAGAGAAGCACCTGCACCAGGCTACCTAAAACATTTACATCGTCACATGGACACAGACACAGGCAATGCACCAAAACCAGCACAACAACCACCTCCACAACCAGCACAACAACCAACACAACAACCAGCACAGCAACCAACAGTTCAAAACCCTGCACAACAACAACCAAACAGAGCAAGGACATAAAAGAAGTTAGAGAAACAAGGAAACCAAGAATTCTTAAAAATGCTTAAAGAAGAGTGTGGTTTCCCAGATAGTATTGACTTTAGTGACAGATATAAAAGAAGCTATTGGAAAGTTCAAGGATGGAAATACTGACCCGAACCTATTTAGTTTTATGGCTCAGCACCAAAACGGATATAATCTCAAACCTGGAAAATACAAGCTCGCTAAGGGATATGATTTAATAGCATATCATCCAAATGACATGGATGAATTTACTCGAGATATTTGATGTCAGAGCTAAATGACAATTCAACTTTCGTCATGAAACGCGTAAAAAATAGAGACGGAACGAAAGAACAAAAGCTTATGAATGCGGATGACGTAGATAGGGAAATTGTTGAAAACGTCTCGGAATATATGAAATGCCAGCAGATGAGGTACAAGAAACTCCACAGGAAGAAAGTTCAGATACAACCAGACATGGAAGAATAGTTCAGCAACAACAGCTAGAAGAGCCTGAAGGAAACGAACAAGTCCTTCCTTTGGAAACTAACTTCACAGAACT